AGCCAAGGAAGACACTTAACCAACTGAGCCACCCAGGTGCCCCAGAGCTAACCATACTCTCACCACATGACCCAGCAGTCATGCTTCATGGTATTTCCCCAAAGGAGCTGAAAACTTCATGTGTACACAAAACCTGCCATAGATGTTTCTAGAAGCTTTATTCCTACTTGCCAAACCTTGGAAGCAACCCAGAGGTCCTTCAGTAGATGAGTGGTTAAATAAACTGGGGCACGACCAGACCATGGAATATTATTCGGGGCTAAAAAGGGAATGAGCAATCAAGTCATGAAAAGGCAGAGAGGAAACAAACGCGTCTTACTAAGTGAAATAAACCAATCTGCGAAGGCTACATGCTGAATGATTTCAGCTGTTGACATTCTGGAAGCAGTAAAAAGGTCCATGGTGACCAGGGATCAGGGGGAGAGAAGGTTGCGTAGGCAGCCCACAGGGGAGTTTTAGGATAGCGAAACTACTTTGTATTACACTATAATGGTGGATACATGTCATTATATATTTTTACAAACCCATGGAGTGTACAACCCCAAGGATGAACTGTAAAGTGAACTATGGACTCTGGGTGATCACGACCCACAGTCATTAGTTATAACAAATGCACCATTCTGATGAGGGATGTTGATAATGGGGAAAGGTGTGTGTGAGTTGGGGGCAAGGGAGATGCGGAAAAATCTCTGTACCTTCTACTCAACTTTGCTATGAGTCTAAAACTGCCCAAAAAAGAAAGTCTATTTTTTTTTTTAAATAAGTCTTACCCAACCTTCTGTCAATTAGATTTTGATGACCACATGTCTGTTCTAGAACGGCGTGACGCCCTGCCAAGAGATAATCCCTGCTCGGATTTGTTGTACCTTCCATGGTAAAATCTGATTGCTTTTCTCCTACCCTGACTCCAGCGAGGCGGGAGGCCGCCCTAGGGAGAGGCTTGGGGCAGAGCAGGACACAAAGATGACAATGCGCCATTGGAATGAGATCAGAATCTCCGCTGTAAGGTACCACTGGCCTCCCTTTGACCACATATTCTCTCCGCTCTACTGGGAGCATCCTGGGTTTTTGCAGTCAAAGGGCTTTGTGCGTCATGGGCTATGGAAAGCAGTTCTGGAATATTAAAACGCTACACTGACTTCCAAGATGTCAATTACTGGCCTTCTGTGAGTGAAATAAAGGCTAAGGCTGTCTCAAGGCAGACCGGGGACACCCAGCCAAATCAACATGCTCTCATCTTCATATTCATCAGATGTTCTCTGTTTGGGCCGAATTATGATCCTTGGGGACTGCTTTTTCTCTTGCTGAGTCTGGCAGTCTCCGCCTCAAATCCAGATGAAGCTAAAGCCGCCAGGGCTCTGGGTCGATGGCCCAAAGTCTCCAGCCGAGAGCCTGGCACCAAGCCTTGCCCGACAGTAGTGTCCACGCGTAAAGGAAAGCAGAGCCCGCGGTCAATCCTCGTGTGACACCTCCTTTCAACCCGACTGCTCTGCTTTTGTGTGACTTGACGTTATTTATTCCTCAGAGAGGGAATGAGTGACTCACAAGATCTTGTGATTCACAGAGCCTCTCGCAGAACTAGGCAGATGGCAAGTGGAGAGCTGGGACGAGAGAAAGGATAACAGGAGGGTGAGGGCCTCTCTGGTCCCTCTGAAGTCATCAGAGATGTCTCCCCCCACCCCCCAGAAACTGGTCCACCAGGAAACCAGCCAGACCCCCTTTTACCCAGCAGGGAGGAGGCGGTTGGGAGGGATACTGGAGCTCCCTGTGGTGAGGATCTAGAGTTCATCTCCCCCCGCCCCCCACCCATCTCCCCCACACCCTACCCCTGCCCAACCGAGAGCCTGCTTTCCAGCCAATAGCATGGAACTATGTACAATGCTTTCCCCTTCCACCCCACTCTGCTTGCCTGGGTCCCTTGCCCTCCCTTCCTGCCCAAATCTCTTTCTGTACCTTCGTCTTATCCTGTTACCTGTTCATGCATCTCTTCTGCCCAGTGAGGCTATTGATAACATAACGTAATGCAGAGGTTAAGGGCGTGAGTCTGGGGCCAAGCCACTAAGGTCTGAGTCCTGGCTGTGCCAATTCTCAGCTATGACCTTGGCCACATTGGTTACCTTCTCTGGGCACGTACATGCATGATACATACATATGCTCACACACATATGCAATTACCCATTGCAGAGCACACTGAGAGCCCAGCAAGTGGGAAAGTAAACTTGAATCTGGTAGGGCTGCCAGGAGGAGGTGACCCCCAGGCCCAGTCTTTAGGAACAAGTGAGAAAGGGGTAGAGAAGCAGAGAAAGGCTGAAATGCTGGCACAGGCAAAAGCAAAAGCATGAGAGGAGAGAACATCAGTCACTCCATAGGGCCCCAGGGGAGTGGAGGGGTGGCACAGATAGATGTGTTAGAGACTCAGATAGGAGCTGAATCATACAGGCCCTGCTAATGAATGTGGATATTGCCTAAGGCCAGTGCAGGGAAATGGAAAGAGTTCAAGTTGGAGCCTGCTGTGAACATTTCGGCACTTTCTAGAACACCACATTTTTCATAGCATTAGCCAGCGATAATCTCTGTGGTCATGAGCGTGAAGCACCATAGGGTGCTGAAGAAAAGCCTGGAAAAGGACTCTGTTCAGTGTCACAGTCTTCTAGAGCCAAAAATATTTTATTGTACTCTAATTCTTTGGGAAATGATAAATTCTTTCTGGGAAGGATCTATGTCTTTTTTTTTTTTAATCACTAAAAACATCTAGAACAACATGTAGGTATACCAGATTTGTCCAACAAATAGTGAAGGGAAATTCATATAATCCCTACACATTATATATTGGTAATCTCTGGTTATTTGAGGCAATTAACTGACCTTTCTGTTGGAAAGTGGAATCGAGGATTGGGACATGGACTTGATTTTAACGAGATGTTAAAGGGAAAATGTCCCCCTAGGGTATTCGAGGGACATTAGACTTCTGTGGAATGAGGACGCTGTTCATGTTTTTCAGTAAAACCAGTTAGAAAGCTTTTCCTTTGGTACCACAAAATGGCAGAGGTTAAACTTCTGACTTGTGGTAACACAAGGTGAAACTAGCAATAGAATGATATCCCTTTCACTTGGAAAAGGAAAAGGGGGTGAAAAGAAACTGGCAAATTGCAAAAAGTGATGCAGTCTGGGGGATCTACTAGGGAACACTGAGCCTCCAAAACCACAGTATCTTGACACACACCCTTTGGATCCGGGCTCATCCATCCATCCATTCATTCATTCCACTACTATTTCGGGGCCCCTCCCGTATCTGGCATGCGAGGTATATAACAACGAACAAAACAGATATCATCTCCTTCTGTAGCTCAAGAACATTACACGGAGGCAGAGCAAACAGGCTTTGAAAAAAATAAGCTCAAAAATAAGCATATAAGAACAACACATGATACGCAGCGTGGAAGAAAATAGGGACTCCTGCTATGAACGAGAACGGAAACCTACTTTCGGCTGGATGGGGGTCAAGGCAGGCTTCCTGAGGAAGAGTCAGAGAGGGATGAGTAGGAAAAAGCCAGGACAGGACTGATGGGGAGACGACTTCAGTCAAGGGGAGGCTCCATGCCAGACCTCAGGGGGACAGAGCTGAGAGAACTTGAGGAACAGAAGGGAATAGAAAGGAGGCAGGAGTGGGTGGTGGAGGGGCCGGCGAGAGAGTGAGCACCATGGAGGGGCTGAAGCCAGAGACATAGAGACCAGTTGGGATAGTAGGAAACAGTGAGAAATGCCGGAGCCTTCTACTTGGATTACAACCTGTCTTCCAACTCAACACACTCCCTAAACCCCAGTGCCCTGATCCCAGGGGAGAATCTCAACTAAGGTAAGGATGAGCGATACAGATGACAAAGGCACCCAGCAGCTTCCCTTGTCAGACGTTGGGAGTGGCAGGAAGCCGGAGCATGTGGACAGAGAACAACAGAAAGAGAAGGCTTGGGAACCAAGCTGACCTGGCTTTCACTCCAGGCTCCCAGTGTGGCCTTGCACCACTCGATCTATAAAATGAGGGTAACGGTACTCATCCTAAAGGTCGTAAAAAGGATTACTTGGGGATGGGTGAAATGGTTGAAAGTGGGCAAATAGTACAGACTTCAGTTATAAAATAAATCATAGGCACTTAGTGTACAGCAATGGTGATGACAGTTAATAATATTGCATTGCACACTTGAAAGCTGCTGAGCGAGGGAAGCCTAAGAAACATGCAACTCTTGTTCTCGGGGTGGTGAGTTCGAGCCCTACCTTGGGTGTAGAGATCACTTAAATAAGTAAGTAAGTAAGTAAATAAATAAATAAATAAATAAATAAATAAATAAAAGCTCTTTAAAAAGTTGCTAGATCTTAAAAGTCTTCATCTTCAGGGGGAAAATTTGGGGGGAGGGTATTACTGTATAGTGAGGGATGTTACCTAGAGTTATTGTGGTGATCATTTCACAATGTATACAAATATCTAAGCATTATGTTATACATCTAAAATTAATACAATGATACACGTCAATTATACCTCCATAAAAAACAAACAAGAAAGGCTTGCCTATAAGTGGAAGTAAACACTTGACCTAGGGGCAGCGTTCAGTAGATGGTTGTTGCCGGGTTCTTTGGGATGAAAGGAGTTAACAAGGCGAACCCCACCGAGAAGGCAGAACCTACTAGGTGTCGGGACTCCGAGTGAGGCGGGAGTCTCCGAGAGCCGGATCTCAGCCTGAGCAGCTGCGGGTGGGCGCTGATGTCACCCCCAGAGAAAGGAACCGCAGCGGGGGTGGGGTGCGCTCGCAGAGGGGCGGAGCCAGAGGAGGAAGACGCGGCCCGGGCAGCTGCGCAGGAGGCGAGGACCCGGCGGCGGGGAGAGAGGAGCCGGGAGCCGGCGGCCGTGGGCGCGGGGACCGCGCGGGCAGGCGGGAGCAGTCCGGCTGCGGCTGCGGCTGCGGTCGCGGGAGGAGGCGGGCTCCGCTGGGCTCTGCTGGGCTCGGCGGGCGCGGCTGGCTCCGGATCCCTACCTGCGCAGGTGAGCCCGCCCCGGGTGACAGCTGGAGGCCCGGCGAGGAGCTGGGGGCGGGGGCTCTAGGGGGGACGGCTCCTCTGCCGCTTTACTGCCGGGGTCCTCAGGGGCGGGGGGATCCAGAATCGTCCCTGTCAATCCCTCCTGGCCTGGCTCGAGCTCTGGCCCAGGTCCGGCAAGCGTGGGGGGCTCCGGGTTGTGCAGGCGGCCTGAGGCTGGAGATGAGGCGACGCTGCGGGCTGATGGCCGGCTTCCCTCCCCCGCCACCAGGAAGTGCCGCGACCCCCTCCGCTGTCCCTCTGAGCACGCGCCGGTCCTCTGCCTGCAGCAGGCCTCCCACCCCCTGCCCTGGTGTGGGCGTTCCTGCGGCCCCAACCACTGAAAGAGTGGAGGGACCCCAAGCCCGACCAGGGCATGGTGGCGGGAGCTGCACCCGGATGGCAAGACCCTCCCAGGAGGCTTGCTCAGATGTGGACCGGGGATTCAGTGGATGCGAGGGGGCCTGACCACCAGAGCTGAGACATGGTACCTTTGCTCCCTGGTTGGAGGCAGCCGCCTAATGCCTGAGCCAAGATGATCTAATTTGGCTTTAGGTCAGCAAAAACTTCCTGGAGCTCATCAAGAAATAGGTCAATCTGAGGGCAAAGTTGCCCTTTACTGTTCATCGTGGCCATAGAGGCGGGGTTGGGAGGGATCATGACCCACCTGGAAACATGCCCGTCATTGCTAAATCACTTTTCTGAGCCATGTGGTACCGATAATTCGTTCTCTCCTTTGGGAACCCGCCCCCCGCCTTATCAATTATTCCTTCTCAGTCATTTCCTTAGCCTGTTTTGTTTCCTTTTTCTTCCCTTGTTGGTATTCCCTTGGCCTCATTGTTCACATTTTCCAATACTCTTTGTAGACAACTTTATTTGTTTCTTGCTTTACCTCTCATCTTTATGAGGGCTCCCAAATTCCTGTTCCCTGCCTATCCCTAATCTGTAACTCCAGAACCAAATTATCAAATATTCCCATTCCTACTGGCTAATCCCAATGTATGCCCCCACAGGCACCAAATCCCACATTTCCAAACTCAAATTGATCATCGCTATCCTTCCCCAAGGTCTTGGTTTGGGTCTCCTCAGTTCCTTGGCTGGACTATTACAGCACCTTCCAAACTGGTCTTCCTGACTCCGAGTCCAACCATCCCTTGAAAACTCAACAGTCTTAGTCTTTGGTGTCTTCAGAACTAACCCGAGAGAATAGAACTTTCTTCCTCTCCTTCCTTAGTACCCTGTATACCCGTAAAGGAGCCCTTTGCATGCTGGATAGCTGCTGACTTGTCTGTCTTCCCCTTTAGATCAGGAGCTCCTTCAACACCAATTTTTGTCTTCCCCTGGTCTGGCACATAGTAGACACTCAATAAATATTTCTTATAGTTAGTGACCTCGTAACAAATTGAAACCTTTTGTAGGACACAATTTTTAAGTAGTGAAACTGTGCATGGTGTGTCATTTCACTCCAACCTAAATCCTATTTGTCCCCATAGTGAGTTAATTTGTGTGTGTTGGTGGGGGAGGAGCATTACAACATGAGTCTGCAGGTGGTTGGAGACTGAGACTAATGACAAAATGAAAGTAAGTTTTCCAAATTGCTGAGCTGATACTAAGGGTGTTTTTAAGGTTGTTCTCAAATTCAGTCATAGTGACTGGATGGTGACCTAGCCAGCATGACTCCCTTCTTCTTTCCTTAGACATCGAGTCAACAAATAAGCTGAGCACATTCAACTAGAAGAGAATCAAAGACTAGAGGCATCATGGCTTCAGTGTCTACTCACGGAAACCAAGATAAAGGCCACCATTTGCCACCACCAAGCAAGCAGGTATATTTTTAATTCAGAAGTCTGCCAACTGAAGAGGACCATCACGTAGGACTTTCCTTAAACCTCATCCTTGAGCAGTCGGTCTTACTGTGTTCAATCTGGTACTTTGCTGGATGGGTTCAGAGACAATGGGATGGGGCAGGAAAGTTTTGTTTTGTTTTGTTTTTTTTAGCTTCCTTGAAAAGGAGCCTTTTAAAATTTTATTTATAAAATCCTTTCTTTTCTCTTTCCTGTTGAGAATCCAGCCTAACTAACTCTTATGTAGGCTGTCAGTGACTGAAGAAGTTTCCTTTGGCAGAGCAGCTCTCTTAATTGAATCTAACAGAATGATACATCATGCTTGTTTTTACATTTTGTTGCCAAGGCTAACCATACGAAGTGTATATGCTGCTGACAGGTGTTCCTTAACTACTAAAGTAGCATTCAGCTTGAGAACCGTAGCGTTAACAGGGGCACAGCCTTACAAAGGGTGAAGAATGAATATTGTATGTTTCAGGGACACATACATGAAGCAAAAAGAAAGTATTTTGGTGGGTAAATGGAGTTCATGTTCTCTAGCGTCAACTTTTCCAGCTAAAAATGGTTTCATGAAGGAAGGGATGTTTAAGGAACGAAGTTTAGGAGAGGCAAACAGACAAATGGTATCAAGTCACAAGGAAAATGTAGACGCCCGAGTTGCCTCTGTGAAATAGAGAGCCATGAAACATGTATGACTATACAAGAAAGGATCACCAGAGCTCCTCCGGGGAGACAATGCAGAAGCATCAGTCTTGACAGCAGGACTCACAGCAGCTGTAGTGGTCAGGGTCCCTGACCCCAGATGTGGATATATATGGGTGTGTTTGGGGCAGATGAGGAAGGGAGGCATTCCCTACCTCTGCTGCAGCCACTGGCAGAACCAAGAAGAGATTTTGACACAGGGATAAGGAGTGTTTGCTGAGCAACTAAGGTAAGTGGAGAGGGGAAACAGCTCCTCTCACTGCCATGACTCACCCTGACCTCCATCATCTGTATGCTGTGCTGTGGGGAATTTTAAAGAAAGAAGATGGAGGTCTACCTATTTGTAGGTAGAACTCTGAAGGCATAGATGCCACAGGGTCCTTCCACCTTATCATCATGCATGTAAAGTGCTTAGCACAGTGCGTGGCCCATGGGAAAGTGCTCAAGAAATGGTGACCATCGTCCACATTGACATCTACTACAAAGAGTCCAAAAAGGAACATTGGCAAAATCAGCAAAGGAAGACTCAAAAGCCAAAGAGCTGCACCTCAAGAAAAACACTAAATATCCAAGTGGTAAATGGCAGAGGTCCTACATAAATAATTCACAAACAAGGAAATACAAGTGTGACTTGTATAGCAAGGAACAAATTAAATAAAATTTGTTTTAAAAAAAATGGATGAACCACCCAGAGATGGATAAAATTATTTTCAAATCACATATCTGGTAAGGGTCTAGTATTCACAATATACAAAGAGCTCTGACAACTCAACAACAAAAGGACAGCCCAATTTAAAAAAAAAAAATGGGCAAAGGACTTAAATTAGTATTTCTCCAAGGAAAATATGTGAATGGCCAACAAGCAAATGAATAGATGATTGATGTCATTGGTCATTAGGGAAATGCAAATCAAAACCACAATAAGATACCATTTCACAATCACTAGCATGACCATAATTCAAAACAGAAACAATTTCATTTATTTACCTTAAATTAACTAAATAAGTTATATTTTTAAAAATTTAATGTGCTAATTTGGAAAGGAACAGAAACAAAAGAGAAAACGAGAAGTGTTGACAAGAATGTGGGAAGACTAGAACTCTCATACTTTGGTGGGATTGTACAATGGTGCAGCTGCTGTGGAAAATATTCTGGCAGTTCCTCAACAAATTAATCATAAAATTACCGTATGGCCCAGCAGAATTGAGAACAGATGTTCAAACAAAACTCACACATCCACGTTCAGAGCAGCTCTACTCACAACAGCCAAAAGGTAGAAATGACCCAAATACCCATCAGTAGGTGGCTGGATAAACAAAATGTGGTATATCCATACAATGGAATATTCTAGAGTCACAGAAAGGAAATGAATTACTCACACGTGCTCCAACATGGATGAATGATGAAAACATTATGCAAAGGGAGAGAAGACAGCCATGAAAGGAAGCATAATGTATGATAGCACTTACGTATCCATAGAGACTTAAAGCAGATTCATGATTGCCAGGCAGCTAAGGGTTGGGGATAAGCAGGGAATGAGGAGAGGCTCTTTAATGAGCATGCAATTTCCTCTTGGGATGACGAGAAACTTCTGGAACTAGACCGGGGTCGTGGCCGTACAGCATTGTGGGTGTCCTTAGTGCGTGTATTGTGTACTTTAAAATGGTTAAAATGACAAATATTAGGTTTTGTGTCTTTTACCGCAATGAAAAAGTATGGAGCCACTGTATAATCCAAGATGACAACCAAGGTTAGTTGAGGGATTGCTTCAACATGCGAGGAGAAGGGCATTCGGGCTGAAAAATATGTATATTCTCAAACACATTAGTTACCAGAGAAATGCAGGTAAGAATGAAATAATTGCATTGTACTTAGACTATCAACATTTAGAAAACTAGAGAATGCCAGATGTTCCAAAGTCTGTTCTTTACTCTAACCTGCTTCGAATCCAGCTTAACTAGCTCTCAGGCAAGATCTGCAGGCACAGAGGAACATTCAGGAACTGCTGGTGTGAGTCGATACTGATGCAGCCATTGGGGAGAGAACGCCAGCAAGACTGTGCAATCGGGAATACACATGTCCTCTATTTTACTTCTAGGTATCTATCTACACATGTTCTCATGGGAGACTGTAAGGAGACGTGCTGGAGAATTAATCAGCAGTTAGAACAGTAACAGCGGCAAGAACAGTAGAACAGTGACCTAACAGCAGTTAGATCTTAAGCGCATAGGGCTGAGTTGAAAACATTTTTTGAGTAATATTAAATATATAAAACAATGCCATTGGCATAAAAAAGATGTCCGTACCCGCAACAACGACCATTGTACAACAATGCATACCAACAAATGAGCCCCATTAAACCCCCGGAATGGCAGTGATGGGCAGAGGAGAAAAGGAACGGAGAATGTAGGCAAGCACAAGTGAATATTACATGTGCGCAAAAGGGGGAGGGTCATAAATGGTGGGAGTTAGTCCAGATTATAGCGTATTGATAGGATAAAAAAGAATACTACAGATGTAGTAAAAAATGATCACGTCAACCACGTCAGTATTTCCACCAGAAATTATGTGCAGACCACTCACAAACGTGTAAAAGAACCTGTTAAGACAGAAAGTAGAGGGGCGCCTGGGTGGCTCAGTGGGTTAAGCCTCTGCCTTCAGCTCAGGTCATGATCTCAGTGTCCTGGGATCGAGCCCTGCATGGGGCTCTCTGCTCAGCGGGGAGCCTGCTTCCTCCTCTCTCTCTCTCTCTCTCTGCCTGCCTCTGCGCCTGCTTGTGATCTCTGTCTGTCAAATAAATAAAATCTTTAAAAAAAAAAAAAAAAGACAGAAAGTAGGATAGACAGGGCACCTGGGTGGTCAGTCCTTAAGCGTCTGCCTTCAGCTCAGGGTCCTGGGATGGAGCCCCGCATCGCATCGGGCTCCCTGCTCTGTGGGGAGTTTGCTTCTCCCTCTCCCACTCCCCCTGCTTGTGCTCCCTCTCTCACTGTGTCTCTCTCTGTCAAATAAATAAATAAAATCTTTAAAAAAGAAAGAAAGAAAGTAGAGTAGACAAAAAGCAGTCTGTTGATGAGTTCACGGCCTTAAAATGCAAACAGAAGTAGAAATAGGTGAATCGGAATGCCCGGTCTATAAATAACTACGCAGTCCCCTGCTCTGAGTGGGATCCCAGATACATAAACATCGTGCCTGAGGGGAAATCTCTTCTTCACCCAGGAGGCAATACTGAGTTGGGTCCTAAGGACGCCAGACAGGCAAGGGGGGCGAGAAGCCTTGCAGGGAGAGTGAGCCGCGTGGACAGAGAGGCTGGAGGAAAGAAACGGGTCTCAGCGGTCATTCATTCTGACCAGATATCTGTTCCATGCTCGAGTCAATGAATCACTCTCCTCCCGCTGGGATTCTTTGCTTGCCTAAACCCGCCCAGCATTCCGGGTTGGAAGGTACTGGCTGAGACCGGTCGTGACTGCGGGCAGCCACAGAGCACACACGCTAGGTGACCAGAGTCCAGAGTCCGCCCTGCGCTCCTCTAGGGAAAACAGTGAACGTGCTTTGCTCATGATTCCGGTCAACTCACCACACAACTTTCCTTACAGAGTCTGTTGTTTTGTCCGAAATCAAAACTGCACATCCACAGGGCAGAGATTTCGAAGATTATCCGAGAATGTCAAGAAGAAAGTTTCTGGAAGAGAGGTAATTGCTCCCCTCTTAATCTTCGTTAACATTATATTTGCCGCAATAAACAGCCCTCAGTGTCACATTAGAACCATGGTAATGACTCACTTTTGAGCAGGGACTTTGCACTTCCTCCTGCCAGGCCTGCCTTATGTAAGACGAGGGTGTGAATTCACGCTGTGCGTTCAAGTCTCTTCCAATTTAAAAAATTCATGATCTGCCATTTGAAAATGTCATGATGGGGCCTATAGATATAGTCCCAGTGTTTTGCAGCATTGGGATAATGTATACTTTGAAATGTGCATCTTGATTTCTAAGATCAGTCAAGTTCAGTGTCAAAGGATCGGAAAGTAACATTTTAGAACTTGATATTCATTATACATTATTATGATTATTGATTGTGCTCCTAGAAATGCATGGGTTGTGTGTGTGTGTGTGTGTGTGTGTGTGTGTGCGCGTTTTACAGCCAATGAGTCAGTAACTTAAGTGAGCACTAGAAGATTAACATTTCTGTATGACCCACTCATCTACCATCAGGTAGATAGGAATGGGGAAATCGGTTGCTCTTTGATTTTTCTGGGTTGCTAGGAAGAGCTAGATGTTCATCTGCGCTCTCTGCTCTTGGAAGAATTGTTGCATTTTGATAGAACTAGAAACTGCCTTTGCCAGACTAATTTGCCTGTTTTAAAAATCATAGCTCAACACCACCCATGTTTAACACGAGTATGACCATCTTGTAATCTTCAGAAAACAGACCTCCCCAAATTGTGCAGCAAAGTATCACTCAAGACAAAAAGCTAGGAAGGGTCCTAGATGGGGTATGACGGAGTTTATAGTGCTTTTTTAACTTTTACATAGGATTAAAAATTTCCAAAGCCACAGCTCAAAGCAAACTCCCCAGTTCAACAGCTAAGTGGGCACACATGCCAGGATGCCTTTGTCATAGGTCGTGCTCCGAATCTGGTGCACGGGAGGGGGGCCGGGGGGTGCGCTCTGTAAAAGCAGATGGCAGGGAGGGAGTAGCATGGGGTTAGGTTTTATCCCCTTCATGCTGGGCTTCAGGTTGAGGGACTGGGGCAGATCTCAAGAAAACTCTGCCTGCGGCGTTTAATAAATATTTGTTGAATAAGTGAAATAACAAATGACTGAAAACTCGTTGCCCAGCGTATTACATGGAACACGGGGTGTGGTACATAAACAATGCATTCTGGTACACTGAAAAGAAAAAACAAAACTCGTTTCCCAGTAGATAAGAGGAAAAAAAATCCCAGACTAATTTCCAATGACTTCTGGATGGGGTGCCAAGCTTGGAAATAGCAATAATGAAAGACACTTTTCTTTTACAGCTTTGCCTTTTTCTCTTGTGAGCATGCTCGCCACCCAAGGACTAGTCCACCAAGGTAAGATTCTAGATCTATTGAACAATTAAACTTAAGAAATCCTAGTTTTCACTGGCCCTCCTGGCAGCTTTTTGGCACTTGGCCTTTGTTTTTTGGTGAGGGATTTATTTATGCCGGTCTTTGCTAATTTTCAGACTAAGTATGCCCCTCTCCCGAAGATGTCCTCATCTCCAGGCTGACTGTCTATAGTAGGTTAATTGGCAAAGGGAAATTAAGGTTGCAAGTGGGCTGAAAGGGTGTTTATCAGCTGACCTTAAAATAGAGAGATCATTCTGGATTATCTGGATGGGCCTGGTGTAATCAAAAGGTTCATGAAAAATGCAGGAGTGGATCAGAAGGCGGAGCAGAGGGATGGCAGCAGGAGAAGGGCTCGGTTCAACAGCACTGGCTGTGAAGATGGAGGCGGGGCCCGTGAGTCCGGATGTGGCTACCTCTAGAAGCTGGAAAGGCAAGAAACCCTTGAGCCTCCGGGAAGAAGGCAGCTCTGCCAATACCTTGATGTTAGCCTAGGACTATGGTCTGAATTCACATGGTGAACTCTTTAACACCCCGTGCAGTGGTATTAGGGGATGGGGTCTTTAGCGGGGAGGTAGAGCGCTCATGAAGGAGGTTAGTGACCTTGGAAAAGAGATCCCACAGAGCTCCCTAGCTCCTGCCATCACCTGATGAAACAGCAAGAAGTCTGTGACCCCAAAGTGGACCCTCACCCAACCGTGCTGGCACCTGACCTTGGACTTCAGCTTCCAGAACTGAGAAATGAGTTTCTGTTGTTTATAACCCCTCCTTCCACGTCTGCCATCTTTTGTTATGGCCACCCCAATGGACTGAGTCAACTAGGGAGACCCATTTTGAGCTTCTGACCTCCAGTACTGTAAAGGAACAAATTTGTGTTGCTTAAACCACTAAGTTTGTGGTAACTTGTTCAGAGCCCAGGAAACCAATGCCGTGCCTTTCTGTGCGCAGGAGTCCCGGTGTTTTCCTCGGGCTCTGCTACGGTTAGACAGAGTGTCTCCTTCAGAAGTGGGTTCCAGAGAGGAGATATGTGGCATGGAACTCCACCTGCGTGCTGGCACCCTGTCCAATCTGAACAACAGATCCAGAAACTAGGAGCACCCAGCATCTCCCCAGAGAGCCTCTCCCTGACTCTTAGAGTTTTCCACATTTCCCATCTAACTCTCTTCTTTCTTCTTATTTCCATCTACAAGAGCACCTTTAGGCCTTGCTTGGGCCCCAGACAACAAGAAGGCATTTGACTTTGTTGAAGCTGTACTGAACACTATACTGAACACTGCTGATCACCAGGACTTTAAAAAGAGTATTATACCCAGCAAACGTGAGAGAAAATGTTTTAGTTCTTTCTGGGGTCTCAAAGACCATATATGTCATGCGTCTAGGAGAATCCCATCTCACTCAGTGTTACTCTTGTCTTTAAAGTTGATTTATTAAATATGATTTCATTTTTTAAAGATTTATTATTTATTTTAGAGAAAGAGATCACAAGTAGGGAGATGGGCAGAGGGAGAGGGAGAGACATCTTCAAGGAGACTCCCCACTGAGCATTGAACCTGACAATGGAGCTTGATTCCAGGACCCTGAGATCATGACCTGAGCAGAAGGCAGAGGCTTAAACCACTGAGCCACCCAGGCACCCTGTCAGACCATTTCTAACAACAAAAAAATATGGCCATAATATCTATATTATGTTTTATAGACACTAAATTGCTTAAAATCTGCAGTCTCCCACATGTGTGCAAATATACTTTTCCAGGTTTGTGTATTAGTTCTCTGTGGCTGCTGTAATAAATTACCACAAGCATAGTGGCTTAAAGCAGTACAAATTTATTATCTCAAGTTTCGGAGGTCGGAAATCCAAAACAGGTCTTGGTGGGCAGAAATCAAAGTGCCAGCAATGCTAGCTTCCTTGGGACTCGGGAGAGGTTGGTCTGGGCCTTCCTTTCCCTTTCCAGCTTCTGGAGACCACCTACAATCCCTGGCTCATGGCCCCTTCCTCTGTCTGCAAAGCCAGCAACACTGAGGCAAGTTCTTGTCATCCTGCCATCTGTCTGGTTTGTCTCTGAATCCCTCTTCCACATTCAAGATGATTACATCTTGATTACATCGGGTCCACCCAAATGATCCAGGATAATCTTCCTATTTTAAAGTTATCTGGGGACATCTGGGTGGCTCAGTCGGTTGGGTGTCTGCCTTCGGCTTGGGTCATGATCCCAGAGTCCTGGGATCAAGTCCTGCTCAGCAGGGAGCCTGCTTCTCCCTCTGCCTGCTGCTCCTTCTGCTTGTGCTCTCTCTCTCTCTGACAAATAAATAAAATCTTAAAAAATAAATAAATAAAAATGAAATTATCTGATTAGCAACCTTAACTCCATTTTTTTTCATAGTTTTCAGGGATTGGGATGTGGACATGTTTAGGAGACCATAACTCTGCCTACCACAAATTTTAATATTTTCATGTAAAAATTATGATCTCTAAACTGAGACTTTGTGTTCAGTTACTTAAAAGGAGGAGGAGGCGATGCCTAATTGCTTGGAACTAAGTTGTTAGTTCTGCCTTTGCCTTGATAGCTTTTTTTTTTTTTAAGATTTTATTTTTTAGGAATTTCCACACCCCACATGGGGCTCAAACTTAAAACCCTGAGATCAAGAGTTGCGTGCTCCATGGACTGTGCCAACCAGGAGCCCCGCCTTGATATCTTTATTTATTTATTAAAATTTTACTTATTTAGAGAGAGACCGCATGACTGTGAGAGAGCACGAGCTGGGGGGCAGGGGGTGGGCAGTGGGCAATGGAGAGAATCCCAAGCCGACTCTGCTGAGCAGGGAGCCTGACATGGGCCTTGATCTCATGACCCTGAGCTCATGACCTGAACAGAAACCAAAAGGCGGCCTGTAGCCAGCTGAGCCCCCCTGCCCGCCCCCACCTTGTATCTTTAAAACACTCTTGAATTTTCTGTTTCATATTCTTTTCCTACACATTTTGGCAAGCCAGTACATGCTACTCGCCAACAAAGGTGATTTGAGAGTTAAGCTCCATCAAGGACTGACTTTTAACTCTTTAAAAACCTTCTCTTTAGATTGAGAATCTGCATGTATCTTAAACATTGAAGTTTTCTTTATACTTTATAAATCTGAATAAGTTATAAAATGAAATAATAATGTATTTCTGTATTGTTCCTTAGGTTATTTAGCATCTAACCCAAGATTTGGATCATTGCCCAAAGTTGCACGTAAGTTATAGAAGTTAAAAAAAACTAAATTCTTTTTTTTTTTGAAGGATGTATATAGCAACTGGATATATGGATTTTCAGGCCAACCAAATTGCGTGTGTTGACACTCTGAAAAATCAGTCTCCATGTTTTTGTCTCTTTGCACTTCTTAGTTCCTGCAGCACTTTCTGGTATAAGGCTGGGCAGTAGGGACCCCGCCTTCGACAGGTCTCTTTAAAGCCTGGACCAAAGAGAGACCAACAACAGAGCCTCCGAATGATAGAGCCATTAAGGTTTTGAATTTTCTCCTTTTGGCCAGCTTTTTCAAAATATTTTGTATGACGGACCTAGCCAATGAATACTTTTCAGAAAGCAGGGACTTTCTAATACTACATTAACCACAAACGTGGGGGGTTGTCTTATTCGAATAACTCATTATACATAGACCCGTTAGGTACAAAGAGAATGCAGTCCAGTGTGTGGGCTGAAACCCCATTCCCAGCAAGAAGAGCAGGTTGGGTGTTTCTCCCTGGGAGGTTCCCTCTGCCTCGTGACGGCTCCTCCTGGCCAGCAAGATGGTTCGTGGCTCCCCCTTCTCTTACCCATTGAGAGAGTTAAGGGGATTTCCTGCCAAGGAATTTGGAAGCTACCTATAGCCACAACCCAAACCCCATCCCTTCCTTCTGTGGTGGCCTCAGACATTCATTTGCCCGCTGGGCCTCCCTCTGGCTGCCAGTGTCTGAGACAGCACCTTCTCTTCCTCTACCCCGGCCCTTCTACCACCAGCTCAAAACTGAGGAGATCAGAAAGTCTCCATTTCCCAATCCTGCTCTTTAATAGGGAGATTCACTGGCAGAGATTTTGTTTGTTGATTTATTGTGGTACTTTTCACATAAAAATTACTACGGTTCATGTAGAAAGTTCTAGAAGATAATTAATGGAGGAGATTGGGAACTTTTAAATGATCTGTCCTAACCTGCTTTTACAGTTGCAGGTGTCTTGGGATTTGCCCTTGGAAAGGCGTCATACATACGAGTATGCCAGAGTAAATTCCATTCCTTTGAAGACCAGCTACGTGGGGCTGGTTTTGGTCCAGGGCATAACAGGTTTGTAACTTTTTTAAAAAATGTTATTCAGTTCTTATTTTTAATTCCAGTACAGTTAACATACAGTGTTCTGTTAGTTCCGGGTGTGCAATCTAGTGATGGTCGGTGCTTGTCATGATAAGTGTCCTCTTACTCCCCATCCCACCAACCTCCCCTCTGGTGACCATCTGTTTGTTCTCTAGAGCTAAGAGTGTTTCTTGGTTTGTCTCTCTCTCTCTCTCCTTTTCCTTTTGTTCATTTGTTTTGTTTCTTAAATTCCACATATGGGTGAAATCATATGGTCTGTCTTTCTCTGAGTGACTTGCTTTGCTCAGCATAATACGCTCTCACTCCATCCATGTTGTTGCAACAGGTTTGTGACCTTTTTGATTGAGGGATTGTAAAGAAAGGACTGATAACAAGTTAAACAAAGGCCCTTTCACCACTTATAATATTAAACAATTATCTAAGTATCCATATATTGGGGAAAAAAAACCTCTTTAACTCTCCATTTTTGAGTTGTTGCTATTCAATTTCAATAATAATTATTTATTACTCAACTTACTCAAATAATTACCTATTTCATTTGCTCAACATTTCATGAGCACCTACTGCATTCAAGGCAATGTGCAGTAGAAAGAATGCCTTCATCAGCAGACATGGCTTCTACCGTCACAGGGCCACACGCAACGGGAACAGGTTTCTCTGCTGCAGGACTTCTCAGAACCCTTCTAGGTTAATGTGTATCATGATTCCTATTCAGAGGTGTGAGCTCCATTAAAGACACATAAGGTGTCCTTAAGTCCAGAGCCCTGGACTTAACGACATTCCCTCTGCATTTCGAGTACCTGTTTGAAGCCAGTTCTACCACTTACAAAGCTGGCTAACCTTGGACCAGCTTCTCACACTCTCTCATCTTCAGTTTTCTCCTCTGTAGAAAATGGTGATCAGAACTGTTTTCATGACATGTTGTAAGGAATAGAAATGATTATTTAGGACAGTAAGTGCTCAGTGTATAATAGCTATTTAGAAATAGCTATATATTTAGAGCTCTCTCTATATAGCTATATATAGAGAGAATATTTATAGGACTAGTGGTGGGGACCCATTTCTCCAAAGACCCTCACTTGTCACAGTGGATTCTATTCTAGAGGCAGCATGGAAACAATGGACATGAAGATCGTTATTGGCCCTTTTGGGGGGATGAAATTCTGGGAGTCTCTCACCAAGAAACAGCTCCTGTTTTTCCTTTAAAAAATTAGACTTGTGAACTTTAATGTAGACGATGTCTCTTAGGGGATACCTGGGTAGCTCAGTTGGTTAAGCATCCGACTCTTGATTTCAGCTCAGATCATGATCTCGGGGTCGTGGGATCAAGTCCCGCACTGGCCTCATGCACTGCATAGAGTCTGCTTGAGATTCTCTCCCTCCCTCTCCCTCTGCCCTTTCCCCACCGCTCGAGCTCTCTCTCTGTCTCAAAAGAAAAGAAAGACAAAAAGAAAAGTCTCTCGGCAATGTTGTCTTAAGACTAGACCTTCCAGTGTCAAAGCACAAACTTCTGTTTTTGCCTCCATTCTAGGCACTGCCTGCTCACCTGCGAGGAATGCAAAATTAAGCACGGATTACATGAGAAGGGAAGTTCGCAGCCTTCGGCTTCCTAAACTTCTATCTATGGATTTTGATGTTTCTCAAACCTCTGAATTTGCACACATTTTAAATTTCCAGTGTACTTTAAAATAATATACGTAGAGTGGAACAGAAACATTGTGATTTCTCGCACTCTTTTGAAATGCTCTCTGGGGAAGATTCCCAGTTGATTTGAGCAGTATGTGTTTGTCTATTTGAGAACATGTCCCGAGCACTCACACACCGAAAAAGAAATTATGTGGCACTCTGTAACTTGCATACAGCTAAGTTAAAAGATCTTACAGTCTTCTCTCATCCATTCTTTCACTCCGCATTTGTTCAGGGTTTTAAGATCTCTGATAGAGGATGAGAATGAGTGTTGAGGAACTTGGGCAGTCATGCCCCACCCAAAACCAATGTATATAGAGGTAGAAACAAAGGGCACGGAAGTGTGTGTCTTACAGGCTTGAGAAGTGCTTTCTAAAATGGAGGGACCAAGATTTTTAATTTAATAAAAAAGATCTCGCTTGAAAGAGTCAGAATCTGAATCTGCTGTCTTTTCAGTGATCCAGGTCACTTCATGCCTGGTCAGTGGTGAAGTTTCGAAAAGCTTTACGTTACTTTACGTTACGTTACGTTACGTTACGTTACGTTACGTTACGTTACGTTACGTTACGTTACGAAAAATCTTTAGGTCATTTGTTTAGCTAACGGGTTCATGCTCACGGTCAACGCTAGAGAACGACGTTCTTCTGTATACTGCTAGTGGCCTATATATACGTACATACGACTTTCCAAACTGCCTCTCCTCTCCCAAGGAACAGTTTGTTTATGGCAACAATCACGGGAAGAATTAATTCATGGAATGATAAACTTTAGAGCTTAGAAGCAGCCAATCCAGCCAATAGGTGGATTCCTATCCTCCTACCAGATTTTTTGCATGAAAAAAACGACCAACCAACCTCTTCCAATGGGGACCTCGTGTTTTATGGCAAGTTGTCTGAGCCCTACATAAAAATTTCCCTTGCATCTTTGCATTTTCTCGGGAAAATGCTTTATGTATGTGTCACCATCTATATATTGGGCATGTGTGTGAGTGTGTGTACATGTTTGTATTTTACTTAATACATCTTAAAACCCATACCATGGAGGTAAAAAGGGAAATCTCATCAGAAGTTAAGAATTGATATAAAATATTTTATTTTAAATATCAAAAATATTTGGGAGCTTTTGTTTTTACATGAACTTAAGTGTCTGAAATGGAGTGATTTTGACTTTGCCTCCTGGCTGATTACATAGCGTGGTCTTTCAGTAAAGAAAGTGCTGTTTCTGTCCATCCGAGCACAGAGCCAACATCCTAGCTTCACCGATGCACTTAAACTCCTGGTTTCGACAACTAGCAATTTGACTCTTCGTTCTCTCAGTGACTGGCAACAATTCAGAATGAGACACATTTATTTCCTGCGTGCCAGAAACTGATTTCCCAGGGATCACAACATCTTCACATCGCTAAGCACAGCGAGTCGATGTTGAAATCAGTCTTGGGGTACTGGGAAAAAAAAAAATTATTGGTGAAAGGGCCCATTGTTTTCACAGCTGACATCTTCATCACTCTTCTGAATCCATTTGGATTTATGATTTGGGCTCTCTGCTTTTCCCAGGCAGGTAACTTATTCACTGAAACAGTTTATCACAGTGATCTTTCCTTTCACATTTGTGAAAGGAAATCAATAAAGAAAAAACTGGAAGGTTACTGAAGAAATCTCAAAATTTTTGCTCATTATCTATCGTTTTTGTTAGGAAGCGCGTGTCTGAGACAGAATGTCTGTTTCTTGTAGGAGGATGTGTCCAAGGAGTGGCATTTGTCTTTCAGCATTTAGAAATTATCAACACTCATCAGCACCTTGGTCATTAGCTTGTGAAAGCAGCACTTTCATGATTAAAAAAAAAAAAAAAAAGATATACTGTATATAATACTTATATATTTTTAAAAATTCTCACTTTGCAAAGACATTCTCAGGAGCAACTGGGTGGCTCAGTCGGTTAGACATCTGTCTTCAGCTCAGGTCATGGTCTCAGTGTCCTGGGATCCAGCCCCACATTGGACTCCCTGCTCAGCAGGGAGTCTGCTTCTCCATCTCCCTCTGCCTCTCCGCCTACTTCTCCGTCTGTCAAATAAATAACATCTTTTAAAAAAATTATATTCTCAAAAAAATTATATTATCTTCCCTTGCTGTCAGAATAGATGACTTATCTATTTTCTGCTAATATTATGAAAGTAATAAAATTTATCTTGAATGACTTGATTCATGAAAATGTCAGGTAGAGAATTTTCTTGATATTCAAATAATGCAATCTGTTAACTGACAAAATTTCTCCACTTTATTTTTTAAGATTTTATTTGTCAGAGAGAGAGAGAGCACAAGCAGGGGGAGTGGCAGGCAGAGGGAGAAGCAGGCTCCCTGTTGAGCAAGGAAGCCGGTAGGCAGGACTCGATCCTAGGACCCTGGCTGGGGTCAGGACCTGAGCTGAACGCAGATGCTTAACCGACCGAGCCACCCAGGTATCCCAGATTTTTCCACCTTAGAACTCAACTGCAGAATTCGATTTCATTGACATTGAAAGTTTGCAGAGATTTCAGAGATTAACCCAGAGGCAGTAAAGCCCAGGCCCAGACAGAGAACAGAACTGGGTGAACCTGGGCGGGGGTGGGGGGCAATGCCAAACACTGGTATAGCGTTCACTTCCCACACACACAAATATGTGGGCCCATTGTTGCCAAATCTTCCAGCTTTTGAAAACAAATAAGCACAGGTTTTTATATGAGACATCCTAGTTTTTGTGTGTTCATCCTTTCGTATATTCAATGACTGTGCTCCCAGTCTGCGCCTACACACTCTCCCTAGATCCTGGAAATGGAGGAGTGAACACCACCAACAAAGCTGTGTTTGTGGCTTGAAATCCAGTCCAACCTCCAGCCACAGCAGGAATCTCTTCTGTGGTCTGGGCAGTGAGATTATAGGAGCCGTGTACCTGACTTCCCTGGGGAGCAACACACCTCTTCCTCTTCTTCTTCCTTCTTTTTTCTGGTCCCACCCAGCCCTACAAAATAGGATTCTTCTTCTTTCACACAGTAGCCTTTAAATTTTGGGACACATGTGCCTCTGAGTTTCTCCAGTCATTGGAGTGGGTTTCCAGCCCCATCACATCTGGCCTGGGGATACCTTTTGGTTTTACTGTTCTCTCGTTACCAAGACTGCAAACATGTATTGATCAGTTCAGGAGAGACCCAGATTATGGTGCTTTTCATTTCCAGCACTTGAACTGCTAGCAAGAGGCCTTGCATCACGCCCCGTGCTCCTCTCGAGGCTCCACGGCATACTGACGTTGAGTCAGCTACACATCTGCTCTGTGCCTCCATTTTCTCATCTGTAAAATGGAAACATTTTAGGCTCTCCTTACAGGTTGTCCATGAGGATTAAATGAGCTAATCCTTACAAAATGCTTACAACAGGGCATGGCTTGAGTAACCACTCAAGGGATGTTAGCTATTACTACCACTACTACTACTGTCAATGGAGTCCAAAGATAATGTGATTGTGCCACACACTTGGCCTGTGCTAAGCTTTCACATGACCCACCTTGAGGTCAAGTCTTCCCATTTTATGCTACACAGCCGGTCATTCTGAATTTGTGTAACTCCCATTACACTTAGCTTTTTTTTATTTCACGATGCGATGATCTGTCCCTTTCAGTTTAAAATTTGTGATTTAACAGGTGAGAGTCGTGTCCATTAATCCCTTTGGTTTCTTAATGTATGGCGTTCATAGTAAGTGCCCGAAGAATCTTTATCCACTGAATGTTTGAAGGATTTGTTGTAAAATACAAACCTGGAAGAGTGGTTAGGTTTATTAGAGCAATTCTCTCATCTCTAGATGTAGGTGGGGCAGGAATGAGGGTAGGAATGGGAAGGCGACGAAGAGAAGGGTGGGAGGGAGAAGTTAATGAGGGTGGGAAAGAAATACCAAAAAGGTACCTCACTGAATACCTCCCTAATTTTGAAAATTGGGGCTGCCACCACAGGCCTTATGATTTGAAAGCCCAGAAACGGCTTCACTCATTAACTCGACATTTTTCAGGATCTACTATATGCAAGGTAATGAGCTATATTCGTACGGAAGACAGTCCCCGCCCTTGAAGTAAGGAGAGGAGACAGGATCTGTAAATCAACAGCTCTACTACAATGTGATGTCTGGTCTGGGTGAGGTAGATACAAACTAAAGGCCACTAGAATTCGGGGCAGAAGTGGTTACTTTTGCTGCCCTTACGGATCATTTTCCTGGCCCAATTCATACTCTCTTTATATCCACACCTCTTGACATGCAATTTTGCATTTCCTTCCCACTGTGAGCCAGGGAAACTACCGATCTTGACCTGGTTAGTCCACACGACTTGCCTTAGGCAAGCTGTGATGCAGAAATGATGGCGTGCCAGTTCCAAACCCAAGCCTAATGAACCTTGTTTCCACTTGTGTCTCTACTGTGACCATGACACAGGCCCAACCCTAGATGCGGAGCCAATAGCCTGCACGCTGCCTGCACACACGAGCTCCACCGCAGCCTGGGATCTAATCCCTGTAAGAAACCCCTTACTATCATTCAGTACAGCAAGGTCCTGAAACCTAACGGAGGGAGAGAACCCCTGGCCAGACCCCACCGGCTCTGGTTCCCTGATGTCTGCCACATCCGGCATCTGAATGACCTAAGACAGACAGCTAAATCGCTCAGTGATTCCTTCCTTCCTCAGGACTCAGAGAAAACAGATAATAAACGCCCGCTGTCTTAAGCCACTGGGTTTGGGGATTTACAACAGTTAACTGGAACACTGTTTCTGGTAGAACTGCAATACGAGTAAGTAGAATTTAGATGAGACCAGTGTCATTTTCCGTTCACCTGAACCAAAAACAAACATTAGGTCGATAATGAAAAAAATATACCAAATTTTCATTCCTGGGAATTCTGCCAATTTTTCAAATATGACCACTGCTTAAAGGTGCTGAGCTATTTACTATATTTACACGTGCCACACTCATTGTACTATTAAATATTCAGAAACAGATGACTTCATTTCCTGTCCCTACCAACACTGCTTACTTATACTTAACAATAAAGAGATTACAAATAAAACCATGAAATCAACAAAGACGCATGTTCCTTTATGTTTTATTTACCATAAACATTAAGTGAATACAGCAAACACCGGAGAAAGGCTTTTTAATAATTTTTGGATGTAAAGCTTAACACCTAAAATTCCGCTTGCCCCCCCCCACCCCACTTCAACATGCAGGTATGTATTTTCATATATGCTGATCCCAGAGCGGACAATCTCTTTACAGTTTCATAAGAGAGTATCCTTACCCTGTAACTTAAACGATTTCACAAACTGTATGTGATCCTAGTATGATACCATCATTCAAACAGTTCTTCAAGAATATAGCCACACAACATTCACATTAAAATCTGTGTTTTTAAACATCATTTTAATAAGCCAAACCACAAGAACCCAGGTTCTAGTTTTAAATGTGTTTATGAAGACTGCTGCTGAGCTCAAGGCATGCAGATTTTCATGACCACCTAGATGAAGCTGGATATTGAAACGCCTTCAGTCGGTCCAATGATGCAATTTTTCACTCATCCCAAGTATCTCCATATTTGTTTACTTTGACTAGGAAAAAAGCACAAATAATTGATGATTCCAAATATTAACAAGTGAAAGATACTATTTCAAGGCTGCTACTATGATGCAAATTATGTTTCAGTCTCACTTTCAATAAATGCGCATGAGAAAAAGGGGCTAGCTAGACTTTTGTGAACTGAAGGTTGGACATAAATAATGATGCACTCTACCAAGAACTTTACATCAATATTTGATCCTCGTAACAACCATCCCCATTCGAAGGGGGAGAAAACAGATTAGTAACTTGCCCAAGGTACAAACCTAATAAAGCAAACAGAGCCAAAATCTGCACACAGGTCTACTTAGGTCCAAAGTGTGGACACCTTCACAACTTTACCATACTAAGTGTGGTATATACTACAGCACATACAAAAAAACTTACCACGAAATAAAAAATAGTAACAAACATTTGAATTTTGTTTTTCACAAAAAATAGAGTAACAGAAATGATCACGTCTTCACACTGTGGTTAATTCATTCTTCTCCCCCATGAGCTGTAATACTATACAAGAAGGAAATGGTTTCCAATATTCCTGCATTTTACATGAAACTACATTTTGTAATAAGCTTCTTTGTCTTCTCTACTCTTTGGCTCTCAGCCTCCCTTCGACATAGCCTTCATCTGTGGATGACAATGCTTTAGAAGACTCGAGTATTCCTAACCATGTAAAGCAGCCATTCTCAAAGTAGGGACGAGGGACCCCTCCCCCCAAGATTCTTTCAGGAAGTCTAAGTTGAACTACTGCATTATTATACTCAGATATTATATACCTTTTCCCTATTTTGCCCTTTCCCCTGGCCTTCATTCCCTCATGAGCACAAGGCAGGCTTCTAGAATTTATATGATATATGGTGCTGTCACTGCCCTGATGGCGAATTGATAATACGCTTGCCTTTTTGAAATTTCTGTCTTAATTTCTAATTTAGGTAAATGTCAACAAACATAATCGACACAAACTGAAGGTGAAAACTTTAAGTGATACTTTCTGACCAAGTGAAGCTACACTGTACTAACGTCAAATTTCCTGTCTAGATTCTAAAAAAGAACATTCTAAAAAATCACCCAAACTATTTTATAACTGTTTTTTTCTTTAAATTATACAGAGCACATGCCAAAAAATCCGTTTTCTTCTTACAAAGAAAATAATTATTCCACATTACTGTGTCATGTAACAGAGCTTCAAGGTTGTTCAGTCAAAACCACAAATGTCAAAATCCAACAAATCCCAAAGATCTACCTTATTTCCTTTTGTAAACCTTTATTATTGAGGCCCGACCAAAACACTTCATATGCACTGATACATCAGTGCGTCCTATACTGTGCAGACATACAATAGAAAAGATTACAAAAATGAGAGAAATGCTACCACCTGCCCTCATGGAGCTTACAGTCTAAATCCTCAAATTCAGAAAAAAGTACCAGTAAGTCTTTACATATTACAAAATAATGGCGACTGAATGCAAAATGTTTATGCTACAAGTTTTCTTCTAATGATAAACATTAACAGGTATTTTTTATTATTAATCTATTTTAAAGCTAGATTTTTTACATTAATAATATGACAGCAGTATTACCCATGATTATGAAAACAGAATTCTAAATGAAGCAACCACTAAACAGAAATAAAACTGATTCTAAAAGAATAATCATAATAAAAAATTCTCAAAATTTTAATGCATTTTTGCATTTTTTGTGGCATAGGGCTCTCAAGAAGGTATCAAGGATCTTCTCTTTCCTTCCTTTTTTTTTAAAGTAATAAATAGAAAACCTTAAAACAATGACACTCAAATTCTTCAAAAATGTCATAAAATTCTACACTGATATAGGTACAAACCCCTGTTCAAAATGTCTTCTTCCATTAGGAGTAAACTTGTTTCAGAAAATTTATTTTGGCTAATGTACAGCTGCTCCAAAAGGTATGAAAACAAACTATGATTTTTAAATTTATAATTAATTATAGAGCAAAAGTACTACTGGAAAAAAAGGTCAAACTCTTTCAGAAGTGCCCTAAAAGGTGGTTTATGATGCATATAACTTCTATTTCAATTTCACAAAACATGTGAGAAAATCAATTTCATTATTCGATCATGATTCTCTCATTCTGCTTAAAGTGGCATTATAGCCCGTTATCAATCTCAGGCAACCAGATCTGGTTTTATGCATTCGATGCATCATTTAAAAAACACTTACTAAGTCCCAAGGTGATTTCTGATAAGAGAAAACATTCAAAAGGATTTAGAATTTCTACAGCATATTAAAACTAGTCTTACTGTCTTAATTCATACCATTATTTGGACTTTATTTTTTAACACAAAATGGTCTTTGGAACAACTTAGGAAAGGAAGACTAATAACTGTGACAGAACTATTTTTTTTAAGTTATTTTTGTTAATTGCGTGCGGAATTAAATCACGTATTAGTATAATTAATATTTTTAACTAATGCTGCAGTTCCCAATCCTAAAGAGTAAAGTGATTCAGACTAAACTATCATACCTTCTTTTTTTGGCATTCTTTCCTGCATAGGCCTGACTGAGGGGTCAGTCTTATGTGTTAAAGTTACTTCATATGACTCTCTGTTCTTAGTCCTTAATTCCTCATATGTAATATTTTTTTTCTTAGGACTTTCTTCAGGGTTGGGATCAGGTCCTAAAACAACAAACAGTTAATAAATGGTAATAAAAGGATTTGAATAAACCCAAAGCAACTAAATTTTCTAAATGCTTCTTACCTACAATAAAAACAGAATAAAGTAAAATAGTCAAATTATTACCACCATTCCAAAGGTACTATATTTTCCTCAAGAAAATTACAAAATGAAAACTTTCTTAGACGTTTAAGCTTTTATTTCTAAATTTAAAATCCACATAAAAAAAATTAAAAAGTAACCATGGCCAGAAGAATGGATATCATAATATATACCAGTGCAATTTATTCTCACTAAAATACTAGTGTTTTAAACTGGAAAATTATTTGCACTGTTTGTATAATTAAAAATTATACAAAAAATATATCCTACTAGTGGCAATTAAAATTTGGCATTACATATATTTTACTTAATAATATTTTACATAGTTGAACATTCCTATAACCATAATCTATACATGAACAGCTATTAAAAAAAAGTGCCATCTTTATACTTAAACAAAAACACTTGGAAATAGCTTTTGAAAAGTATAAAACATAGCCTTTGATCACGATATGCATCATTTTTACTCAGGACTAATGGAGCAATACTGTGGCAGAAAAAAGTGGCAATGATAATTCTGGCCAGGGAACCAGCATTAATTCTTTATCTCTCCCAAAGAAAGTCAAGGTGGCAACATATATATATCATCAAAGAGTTAAATACTGATGTAAATAGGGGAGTGGTTACTCTTACTATTAGATGACAGGAGCAAATATTAAACATAGTTCACAAAATGTATAACGAGCAAAAAAAATCATATAAACATTTTAAAAGAAATGAACTAATGCTAACATAACATTGAGTCAACAACTAATTAACTTACAAAGTCTTACACACCACTCCAGAAGTAGTAATTTTCAAAAAGGTTCTCACATACAAATTGGACATATCATTTTATTAATATAATCATTATTAATTAAGATAATTTTTTGAAAAGCAGTTTCTTGTAAGTGGTATTTTGGAACTCTGCAGTAAGGTCCCAGTGAATAATCAGAATTTTCAAATCAACATAACTACACTTTAAATGTTTTCAAGCATAACCTTTTATTTTGCTACAAAGTATACTGCACTGATACAAAGCAAAAGGCTTTAAATATTAATCTGGATATTATACCATTCTTGAAAACTAAATTTTTGCTAAAAAAGAATGTAAAGAAAAATATTATAACCTTATACGGGGTTTAAAAAGCACGTGTATTTCATCATTAATGAGTAATTATTAAACTCCTTGCCCTTTACCATAAATGATATTTTTAAGATTCTGAAGGAGACAGTGTGCACTAGATTACTAGTTAGGAACTACAAGTTCTTATTCTCATGTTGCCAACCATCGTACATGTCCTTGGGCAAATCACTAAACTTCTTTGAATCTTGGTTTTCTCAGTTGCGAAATACAGACATTTGACTAGATGATCTATCTCCTAGGTTCCTTCCAGGTCTAAAACTTTTTCTCACTGAAAAGAAAATACTTCTCTGTTCCAAAATTCTGTGACAAGTAATGGAAACATAAATCAGAAGATTAAGGAGAATTTTTTCCACTTACAAAGCCCAGTGAAAATATTCTGCATTGTACAGGGAGCATGACCTACTACTTAGGGAAGGTTCTGAAGAGCTGGAAGGAATAAAATATAAAACAGCAATGATTTGAATCTGACTGTAATAAACTATGGTAAGTCTAACAGCAACGAACGAGTGCTTTCTACTTTGAAAGATTAGAAACTCTATCAACTCCTAGTAAAAGCAAGCAGAATCAAATAGGGCCAACAGGACTTTAACAAAAGCGGTGAGCCTGCTGGCAAGGGAAGACAGCAGCTGGGGCAAAGCACAAGAGGCTGCAACTGGCCCATGTGGAGAGTGGTCAGAGTGGCAAACGTGATTTAGAGAAGGGACTGAGAAGCAGAGCTATGGATGGATAGATGGCTACGCTCAAGGACATAAAATATATTAAAAGATGGGCCTTGCAGTCGTCTGTGGGCAGATACCAAAAGGCTTTTATGTCTGCCTGCTTTTATTTGGAAAAGGAATTGTACAACATAGTATGAAATCTTCTAGGGCATATGGAAGGAAAAATGAAAGTCATCACAAGGGAAGAAGTGATGCATGGCTAGAACACGAGTAGAATGGATCTGAACTTGAGAGACTAGGAAAATGAGAGCTGCAGTGAGAACAGCTGCCTGTGAAGAGAAATCCTAACCATTCTCTCCTAACTTGCCCACCTCCTTCTCTCTGACCAACTGGGAGGTCTTGGTTTCCAAGCCCTGGCGGGGGAGAATCAAGACTCTTCAATACCTTTCATCCACTTAAGAATGTCTTTAATTACTTTAACTTCCATGCTCTCCTGTTTCTTCTTTTCCAAGATGTTAATGCTTACTGTCCCCACCCCAACCCGCTCTCAAGCAATGCTGTCCCATACCATTTTCTGTAATGATGAAAATGTTCTGTGGCTGCACATTCCAACGGAGCAGCCACTAGCACACGTGGCTACTGAACAACTAAAATGCTACAAAGCAACTGAGGAATTGAATTTTCAATCTGATTTAATTTTAATTAAGTTAAATGGCCACATATATTTAGTGGCTACTTTATGTTCTAACCTACCTGGAAGCCCTTCTACAACTTCTGCAACATTACTTGACCTATAATCAACTTCTCCCTTCCCACCGTGTCCCCTCCCTCCCTTTAACCTACGCATAGATCCCAATTTCTATCCCAAGCAGCAAAAGTGTTCCTTTAACCTTCTTTGTTCCTCATAGTTACTGGCTTACGGTACTTGCATTAAAGCAAACGTTTTCAAAGAATATTCTATCCATAATCCCTTACCTAAAAGTTGGTAGTCAGAAATGCTTCAAAATTCAGTTTCTCCGATTTTAGAAAGATTATCATGGTATATAGCTTGTTAATGTGTCACTTAACCATACAGTCAGAGGTTTGAAGCAGCAACGCATAACCAAACGTTAATATTTTGTACAACAAAATGCAGGGCACGTCATATTAAGATAAAGATGATAAGGTCACGGTTTGAAATGAGTTAAGTCAGATTTCATCACCAGTTTAATTATAAAAAAGCTTTGTAGGGGTGGCTGCCTATCTCAGTCGGAAGAGCATGTGACGCTTGATCTTGGGGTCCTGAGGTCCAGCCACATATCAGGAAAATAAATGATAAAAAAATTGTAAAAATAAAGCTTTGTGGTTTTCAAAGTTTTTTGGATTTTAGGATTTTCAGATAAGGAACTGTAAACCTGTGCTTCCTGATTCTTCACTTTTCACCGCAAATTAGATTGAAAAAAAAAAAAGGGGGGGTGAACATCTGTTAAGAGCCTATGACTTGGCAGGTTTTACCTCTGATTATTTCATCTCATTCCCGAAGTTCTTTAAGAGAGGAATTATCAGCTCCATTCCAGAGATCAAGAAACTGAAGGGATCACAAAGTTACTTGCCTAAAGTCCCACAGCTAGCAAATGTCAATCATTCAAATCCAGGCCTTAGTCCAAATTTGATGTTGTTTCACTTACATTCTGCGATCTTCAAAGCTAGCATTTACACAAACTTCACAAAGCATTTTCACATGGATTTTCTCACTTGACAAGAGTTCTGTAAGGCAGGTAATTATTATTCTTTTCACATTACAGACAAAGAAGCTGAAAGCCTTTAAGACCAGCCTAACAACTGTAACCTCTCCGAAGCCTCCCGGTGGCCCAATTTACCACTTCTTTGCAATAATCACTCAACTCTGTTAGTATTTGTGATTAGTGGGACATATTGGTAATTTTTCCTTTTATTTCTATATCTTCTAACAATCTGAGAGAGTTTCTCAAGAACAAGAACCAGGTCTTACTCATCTATACTTCTTTCATGCCTAGGTGAGTGCCTAACACCTACTGGATGTCAAAAAATGTTGAATGAATGAAGAATCAGATGAACAAACATGATGAGTTCAGGCGGATGGTGGAACATACAGGTGATATCCAGCAGAAAAGGTCATCAAATAAAGTTTATACATACGTTGGACCATATAATGCTGAAACTCATTTCAAGAGAAGTTTCTACCTTGGGCAACATGATCAGTAATACCAGTGGGAGTAGATTCATTCATAGAAGCACTGAATGGAATTGGCTCATAATGAGGAAGCATCTCTTTTTCTATGTTGTCTGCTGCTGGAGACGTCACAAAGGATGAATGACCACTCAAATTTGAGTCATATTTTGACTTCTGAGAATAGTGCCTGTAAATCACATTGTATAAGAAACGCAAATTATTGCCTATATCCGAAAAAAAAAAAGTGTTGAAGTATGAATCTACTTATCTTACTTTCTAAGGAATTATGTAATTTTTACACAGTTATCTGTAACAGTAAAATGAAGTCTGTTTCTCTCTGCCACAAAAACCTATAAATAAGTTTTGACCCATTTATACAATATACAACTTAAAAACACCACTCTTAATACAGAAGAAAAATGTATATCCAATTTTCTAATTCCCAAGCTTCAGAGACCATTCTTTAAAAAAATATTTGAGAGAGAAAGAATGTGCGTGAGCGGGTGGAGGGAGGGGCAGAGGGCGGAAGAAAATCTCAAGCAGACTCCCCACTAACACGGGCTCCAAAGTAGGGCTCAATTTCATGACCCTAGATCATGACTTGAGCTGAAATCAAGAATCAGCTGCTTATCCAACTGTGTCACCCAGGCACCCCACTTTAGAGATCATTTTAATGTGTTTAAAGTCCTTGGAGGGGTGCCTAAGTGGCTCACTCAGTTAACCATCTGACTCTTGGTTTTGGCTCAGGTCACGATCTCAGTCAAGGTCATGGAATTGAGCCCCATGCTTGAGATTTTTACTCCCTCCCTCTCCTTCTCCTCTGTACCTAGCCCAGCTTGCTGGCACACGCTCGCTCTCTCTCCAAAATAATAAATAAATCTTTAAAAAAAAAAAAAAAAAGGTCCTTGGAAAGAAAAAGTATTTCAAATTAGAAAATATGTCCAGTTCCACATTAAGGGAAGTTACTTCCACAGCTAGCAGGCCATAAACACTATTTTGTTAAGGCAGATATATAAGTAATACTAGCTTTCGTAGGGTTTACCATTTATAACAATTTAGGTATTATATCTACTTAATTACATTATTACTTATCTACCTATCCAGATGGACAGATTCATTTATTTATACTTACATAATTAAAACAGAACTTTGGAGAACATACTTAAAATAATTTCCCTAATTTAAACAGAAGGATTAAGAAGTTGAAAGTTTAAGGGAGCACCTGAGTGGCTCAGTGGGTTAAAACCTCTGCCTTCGGCTCAGGTCATGATCCCAGGGTCCTGGGATCGAGCCCTGCCTTCGGGCTCTCTGCTCAGCAGGGAGCCTGCTTCTCCCGTTCTCTCTGCCTGTCTCTCTGCCTACCTGTGATCTCTCTGTGTCAAATAAATCAATAAATAATCTTAAAAAAAAAAAAAAAAGAAGTTGAAATTTAAGAAATGGGATGATAAAATTTAGGAATTCAAAAGAAAAGTCCAAAATACAGTAATCAAAGGTATTTGCCAAATTAAAAATCCTTTATTCTCATATAAGCACTCCTAACAGGATGCAACTCTATATTTAAAACAAAGACTGGGGGGTGCCTGGGTAGCTCAGTCAGTTGTCTGCCTTCAGGTCAGGTCATGACCCCAGGGTCCTGGGATCAAGCCCCATGTCGGGCTCCCTGTTGAGCTGGGAGCCTACTTCTACCTCTCCCCACAGCCAGCCCGTGCTCTCTCTCTCTCTCTCAAATAAATAAATAAAATCTTAAAAATGAATAAATAAATAAAAATAAAACAAAGGTAGGGGTGCCTGGCTTGCTCAGCTGGATAGAACATGGTGGCTCTCTTGATCTTGGGATCCTGAGTTCAAGCCCCAAGTTGTATGAAGAATTTATTCAACTAAGTAAATACAAATAAATAAAAATGAAACAAAGGTAGACATATTTTACTCCCCTTTTTTAAAAACAAAATAGCTTTAGCTCGCTGCAAACAGCAAGTTCCCAATAGTCCTTCCGGTTACACAACTGTTTCATGCCCTGAATTATAGCAATAACCAGTTACAATTTTTTTAGCTAAAATTAAAAACCTTCAATAAAAATTAGAATTTGGCCTACCCAGATGGTGAAGATCGCCGTGCCTGTCCTGAGCGTAAAGCTTCTCCAAGAGGGGAATTCTCAAGATTTCTGAACTTCTCTTGGCAAGTTTTCACATAAGAAAGCTTTCCAGCAAAGTATCCCATGATACAAGCAACTTATTTGTAAAAACAAACAAAAAAATGTAACTCAATGTCCCATTTAAATAAAAATCTTTCCTAAAAAAACACTTTTTTAAGAAATGTGATCTCAAATAGGTCTTGATATGGGAAAACGGAGATCACATTAGATCAGATTCAGAGTACACAGAAAGATTTTGTAGACATAGATCACTTTCACAAAAGGAAATAATCCAAAATAAAACTGCTCCAAGATATATAAATTCTACTTTACTCATTATTAATATAGTCAGGAAAGATGTGGTACAGGAATTAAGAGTTCTAGCCTAGTCATAGGGATTTCAGGCCATTTCTTTTCCTATAAGATGGGAATCATACTATTTGTCCAGCTAATTTTGTAAGACTGTTTTTAAAATTAGGTGCAACAAATTCCTTAAAGTAGTGAATTATGAAGTGTACCTAAATGTGACTACTGTTGCTTTATGTGTTTATTTACAATATGTAAATGAGGCTAATCTGGAAAGATTCATAAAAAGTCTCAGGTGCTCTTTTTAAAGCAATTTAGCTTCTTTCCTATAATCATACTATAACAGTAGATAAAGTATGCTTATTTACATCTTAAAATGTAAAGAGATTTTTAAAAGTTAGACTTAATTTTAAGACAATTTATTTCCCTACAGCTGGACAATTTTCTTTCCTCCAAAGACTTTATTTTAAAATACTATATAGTTTTACAAATTATTTAAAAGTAGCAGTTTTATTACATTATAAAAGAAAAAAATTCTCTTTCAAATAACTTGTAATTCTTATTGCTAACAGTAAAATGCCCAAGTAGTTGACTAGTCCATTTAATGAAAAGCTTAAATAAGCCGGTCAAAACAAATAACCAAATAACTGTTATGAGTCAGACAAGACAAAACATTTGGTAAAAGCTAATTATTTTACTCAGGCAAGAAAGCTAAGAAAATGAGTGTTGTCCATACTTACATATAAGTTTAGGGATGGAACCATATTTGGGATGACTTGAAAGGATTCCTAAAGATGAAAGAGCAGATATTTCTGAGTCATATTAACTGTTAGAGATAGACACATTTAGATAAGTTAATTAAGATGTCTTATCTTTTATTAAAATAAAATAGGCATATGCCAAGTTTATGCTAAAAGTATGTTAAGAAAATGACAGAAATGATTAAAAAAATGCAAGAAAACTATTTCTCTGAGCCATAATCTAATCTCTTCTAATGTGAGCAAATATAAAGTTCTAATGTTAGCAATATAAAGTTTAAAAAGTTTAGCATCTATTTCTCAGCAGCCTTGGACAACCCACAAAGATAAAAGGAAAAATCAGGACAGACTATCTTTAAGTATTATTACCTGACTATATTAGCTCTTTCCATTACCTCAGAGAAGTCTAAAAGCTACAGCTATTTAAAAAAGAGAACCAGGGGCACCTGGGTGGCTCAGTGGGTTAAAGCCTCTGCCTTCGGCTCAGGTCATGATCCCAGGGTCCCGGGATGGAGCCCCGAATTAGGCCTGCATCCCCCCTCTCTCTCTCTGCCCGCCTGTCTGCCTACTTGTGATCTCTGTTTGTCAAATAAATAAAACCTTTAAAAAAAAATAAGTAAAAATAAAAATAAAGATAAAAAAGAGAACCAAGTAAATTCAACATCAACAGAAATATGAAGACAATCCAAAAGACTCTACAAGCGATTAGAACAGGTGAATTTATTAGCAGGATCACTTGATACAAGGTCAATATAAAAAAAAATACTATACTTCCTGTAAACGAGAAACAAACAAACCAAACCTTTTTCAAAGATACAATTTATTATAGCACCCAAAGACATCAAAGATCCAGGAGCAACCTAATGAAATATGTGAAGGATCTGTGCACTGAAAACTACGAAGCTTACTGAGAGAAATGAAAGCTAAGTAGAGGAATAATACATTCATGTCCATAAAGGGAAGACTATAAATACTGCCAGTATGACAACTGTCCATAAAGTCATCTATAAATTCAATCCAATCCCAATTAAAAATCAAAGTGTTCCAAAAAATTGAAAAACTTATTCTGAAAATCATGTGGAAATACAAAGACCTGAGAACCAAGGCAATATTGAAAAACAACAGAAGTGAAAAACTGACTACCAAACAAATACCGAGATCTACAATAAAGCTACAGTAGTTACGACTGTTCTAAGTGCAAGAACAGATAAACCCATCAAAACCAGAAGAGTCAAGAAACAGATCCATACACAGTCACTTATGACAAAGGCAACACTGCATGCAGTGAACAAAGACAGTTCTTTCAAAATATAGTGAGTGGTCACCTCCATATCCATAAGGAGGGAAAAATGTACCTTTACCCTACACCTCACACAATATAAGTGTACCTTGGAAATACTGCAGGTTCCGTTCAAGAGCACCACAATAAAGGGAGAATCACAATAAAGTAAGTTCAATGCATTTTTCTGTTTCCCACTGCATACAGCAGTTAGGTTTACGCTGTCCTGTATTAAACATGCAATAATATTACCTAAAACAGTGTATATAAATATTTTACTGCTAAGAAATTCTAACCATCATCTGAGCTGTTGTAATCACTGATCACCATTACAAATATATAAGGGGAACATCTACTGTGAGAATTGCCAAAATGTGACACAGAGACACAAAATGAACAAATGCTGTTGAAAAAATGGCACCAATGAGACTTCTTCAAAGCAGGGTCGTCGTAAACTTTAGATCTGTAAAAACCACAGTATCTGTGAAGCTCAATAAAACAAAGCTCAATAAAACAAGATGTGCCTATATTCAAAAACAATTCCTGGGGCACCTGGGTGGCTCAGTTATCGCCTGCCTTCAGCTCGGGTCACGATCCCAGCGTTCTGGGATTGAGACCCATATTGGGCTCCCTGCTCAGTGCAGGGCCTACTTCTCCCTCTCCAGCTCCCCTGAGCTTGTGGTTCCCTAGCTCTCTCTGTCATAAATAAATAAAATCTTAAGAAAACAAAAAACAAAACAATTCCAAATGACTTGAAAATTTAAGTATGAAAGAAAAAATAAAGCTCATAGAAAAAAGCGTTAGAGATTCCTCATGTCCTGTTATTAGGCAAAGGTCTTAGAACGCATAAAGCCTTCATCATAAAAAACACGATAAATTATTTTATATACTAAGAACTACAGTTAATCAGGGGGAAAAATAATCACAAGACATACATCTGACAAAAGATTCACTTCTAGAAGATACAGAAAACCTCACAAAATCAACAGAAAAAGACAATCCAATGAAAAATGGACAACAGACATGAACAGACACTTTGCTAAAAAGGAACATATTCAAGTGAGCTATAAACAAAAGAAAAGGTCCCCAACTTCATTAGTCATTAGGAAGATACAACTTAAAACCATAATCAGTCTTAACTATTCACTCACCACAATGGCTAAAATTCAAAGGACGTGAAAAGAGGAAGTGACAGCGATAGCGTGACACAAAGAGAACTCCACTAATAAAATGGTACGAGAGTGTACATTGGTCCAAACAATTTAGAAAGTCCGACAGTACCCACCACAGCTGAAAATATACCTAATCTATGACCCAAAATGACTACCAAAAGGTACCGTATTCATAGCAGAACCACTTGGAACAGTCAAAACTGGAAATTACCCAATTGCCAATGCACACCAGGATGGATACACTGCTGTGGTGTATTTACACAGCAGAAAACTATAGGGCAACCGGAATATATAATCTACAATCACATGCAACAATGTGGATGACTCTAGTGATGTGTTAGAAAAACCAGCTGTCCAAATAAAAAGCTCTGATTTGGAATGTCGGTTGATTTCCATGGAGAAAATACTTGCACCATGACCAATTTCAAGCTATCAATGGTTTCAACACTGGCTTGCCAAGCTGTTGAAGATTTAACAATCAGCTTTCTGGAAGTGGTACAAGCCAGCTCTAGTACACCAGTGGATCAATTCTACGAACTCTGAAGGAAGATATACAGAGGAATACTTAATTGTAGGATTTCATGTGTGTGAAATATGAAAACAGAACTAAGTTATGCTATTAGCTTCAGTTACACAACCGGAATGAGAAAAAGGAAGACAGTAATGATACCTACCTTCATTCAAAACAGCTGTTCCTTCTTTCTGTCTCCAAACAGTTACAGACCCCTTACAACATACAGACATTACCTACTAGAAAGTAGGAATATAACAGTAAACAAGATGTTCTCTCTTGCTCTCAGAGTTTTTACAGTTTTGCCCTCTGATCAGTGCCAGGGATAGCCTGTTTCCTAAGAGGAAGTAGCAAGAATAGAGGCAAATAGACCTGTTGACAGCTAATTCAATACTCTTGGCAACAGACGGCTGCGCTAATTATGCTGGCGGGGCAGATGGAGGTAGACAGTTTATGGAGAGATTTAAGGGCGGGACTAGAATGAACATTCACTGGGCAAGGCAAATAAGGGGTAGAGGTTAAGGATAACGCCTTAATTTCCTAGATGAAGAGTGTACCACTCAGACATGGGGACAAGAGAGAAACTGGTTTGGAAGCAAATGAACTCAGTTTGGGATGAAATAAGTCAGTCTGAAGAGTCTGTAAGAAGGGCCATTTCTGTGAAGATATGCAAAATACGGGTCTGGAGCAGAGATGGAGGCGAGGGAGAATCATGGGGATTTAGAGCAAGAGACGGTCCTGAAGCCCACACCAGCACTCCCGTAAGAGTTTACACAAACTGAAGACTGAAAGGCAAAGCAGAACTCCGAAGAACACAAGTGGAGGATGAAAACCCACATTAAAATATTAAGTACTAGCACTTCTTGAATTTTTGTCTGTTGGTGTTATCTGCCCAAAACAGTGTATAATACATATTAGACACTCAGAACACATGAAAAAATGGAGGAGTTTCCAGGGGCAGAAGAAAAATCAGAATGTGCTGTCACAGAAGTCTGGGGAAAAGAACCATTCCAGAGATTGGTTAAAGTCGTATAATCATCAGGAACAAAAACTGCCCATCGAATTTAAGCAACAAGGAAGCTGTCCTCGTAACCTTCTGAAGTGTTGGTAAATGTCAGAACATATGCATAATCTTTTCACACAGATTGTAATGGGTTAAAAGAAGTGAAAATTGGGGGCACCTAGGTGGCTCAGAGTGTTAAGGCCTCTGCCTTCGGCTCAGGTCATGATCCCAGGGTCCTGGGATCGAGCCCCGCATCGGGCTCTTTCCTTGGTGGGGAGCCTGCTTCCTCCTCTCTCTCTCTGCCTGCCTCTCTGCCTACTTGTGATCTCTCTCTGTACAATAAATAAATAAAATCTTAAAAAAAAAAAAAAAAAAAAAAAAAAAAAAAAAAAAAAAGAAGTGAAAATTGGAGGCGCCTGGGTGGCTCAGTTGTTAAGTGTCTGCCTTCAGCTTAGGTTATGATCCCAGGGTCCTGGGATCCAGCCCCAGAGCACCACATCGGGCTCCCTGCTCAGCAGGAAGCCTGCTTCTCCCACTCTCGCTCCCCCTGCTTGTGTTCCCTCTCTTGCTCTCTCTCTCTGGCAAATAAATCAATAAAATCTTAAAAAAAAAAAAAAAAAGAAGAAGAAGAAAAAGTGAAGTGCTCATTTGTGAAGTTTGACTTCAAATGCAAGACAGCTGGGAACAGTCGGAAAGGGATAGGAGGGAAGATTTTTCTTTTTTATGTTCTCAAGTTACAACAGACCTGGGCATGTTTAAATGTTCAGGAAAAAAAGAAAAGAGAACAAGTAGTGATAGAGCAGCTAAGACTATGCTGAGTATGACATGACAAACTGTGGATGAAAGCACATACAAAGTGCTAGGCATTCTGATTAAAGGCAAAATGTCTTGGTGGATTCTGAATTCCTTTTCTAAAGTCTTCCCAATTTCTTTTTTTTTTTTTTTTTGAGACTGACTTTATTAGGACACTGCATCCAAAACAAATCCTCAATACAACTTAACAGTAATAAAATCCCTTAATCCTGGAAAATAGTTATATGAACAGCACATCAACGTATTTTTTATATTTTTATTCCAAATTATCAAAACCCCAAAAGGAACAACTCTGACAGTTATTGTATTATACAATAAACATTAGTCCATAACTTAGGTTAATCATTTTCAGCAATTCTTTCCAAAAAATGGAGGGGCACCTGGGTGGCTCAGTTAGTTAAGTGTCTGACTCTTGGTTTCCATTCAGGTCATGATCTCAGGGTCATGAGATCAAAAGCCACGTCGGGCTCAATGCTGGGTGTGGAACCTGTTTAAGATTCTCTCTTCCCCTCTCCCTCTGCCCCTCCTCTCCACTCACAGCATGCACACACTCTCTCTAAAATAAATAAAATAAAATAATTAAAAATGGATTATTAAATTCTACTGTTAAGGCTCCAGGCTCAGACCTTACAGACAATTACAATCCTTTGGAACAATGTCGTTGATCATGGTATGACTTTTGCAAATGAAATCACAGAGGCATAAAGTGCCATTGATGACAAGTCAAATCATCACCAAATGGTGACTAAAAATCCAGGAAGATTTTAGCTGTAAGAAAAATCTGCCTCCTCAGTTAAAAGTTCTAACATTTTCAGTGGATTCACCCTATCCAAGAACAGTTCTATCATGATATATCTGCAACTTATAAAAGGAAATTTCTGCTTCAGTTGTGTGTGTAATTAGTTACGTAGGAGGAAGGAAGGCAATGTAATATTCACACCAATAGAATCAGGGACAGAAAGTGGCCCCAAACCCCTTTCTATAAGATAAAACTCTGGTTTTAAGGAGCTAGATAGCTACTGATCTTTAAACCAGTGCATTAAAAATTACCTGGAGCTTGTTAGAACAGATTCCTAGGCCCTATCTCAGAGATTCTGATTAAGGAGTTTTGGAATGGGGCCCATGAACCTGCATTTTTAGTGAGATCGTAGGTAATAGTGATGGTGGCCTTCCTAGACCAGGTTTTTTCCTCTACCTCCCTGCCAACAGTCTGCAGGTTTTTAGTTACTTTTTTGCTCTTGTAGATTGTGAATGTTGCTACAGTGTCAGAGGACATCAAATTCTTAAGTCTATTTATGAGTCGGGGTCCATAGAGACATAACTCTCCTGATGTTGGAGAAGCATACCAATGATCATGTTTAATATGACATTATTATACTTTATCTAAAAATCAGGAAAACAACATAAAAACATGATATCCAAAATGCCAAATAAATCTGAAGTTTAAATATTTACCTTTACTAATTAATCCTTGAGTAATCAACATACTTGTTGCAGCCAAAGGCACAGCTAAAGGAAGAAAAAGAACTTGTCAATATCAACAAAAGGAAAAAAGACTTTATCTGAGTTCACGAGGATAAATATGTATCAGTACAACTATCTAGGAAGATCTTTACAAGAGATTTTTCCGGGGCACAAAAATCTGGCTCAGTTGGTTAAGCGTCTGCCTTCAGCTCAGGTTATGATCTCAGGGTCCTGGGATCAAGCCCCACACTGGGATCCCTGATCAGTGGACGTCTGCTTCTCCCTCTGTCCCTCCCCCCTGCTCATGCGTTCTCTCTCTCTCAAATAAATAAAATCTTAAAAAAAAAAAAAAAAAAAAGACTTTTCCATTTTTAAAAGCTGTATTTTAGGGGCACCTGGTGGCTCAGATGGTTAAGCATCTATCTGCCTTTGGCTCAGGTCACGATCCCAGAGTTCTGGGGCTCGTGGGATAGAGCCCCATGTTGGGCTCCTGGCTCAGCAGGGAGTCTGTTTCTCTTTCTCCCTTGGCCTCAGCCTCTTCCCCTCCCCCTACTCACACTCTCCCTCTCTCTCTGTATCTCTCGGTCTCGAATAAATAAAATCTTTAAAAAAATAAAATAAACTAAGAGCTGTATATATACAATCAGTAGAAATAATAAACTAAGACCTGTATTATATACAATCCATAGAAATATTTAAATTTAAGAAAATATTATAAATATTAAACAATGTAACTCAAGAACCATCTAGATTTGGCTCTAAAAGGGCCATTCATTAATATCACCAATAAAGACAATATTCTAAATAGGACCAAAAGTCATTTCTGAATTAGAGTAAGAAGGAATTAATAAGAGGCAAGAAGTAGTATTACACTAAGAGCTACTACTGAATAAGTACTAAATTCCATGGCCTGTGCTAAATGCCTTATATACGTTTTCTCACTTACTTTTAACATATCTCTAGAGTTATTTTTTTTTTATTACTGCCCTTTTAAAGGTAAGAAAATTGAAACTCAGAGATGTTAAGTAATTTGCTCAAGGCCATACAGCTACTTCAATGGCAGTTCCAGATTCTAACTGCCTGATATCGTTATCTCAAGCTTTTAAGTTCTGTAGTACACTGTATGAACCAAAACACAAGAAATATTTGTCGACAATTACACAGTGATGGGGGCAAGAATACCCAAGAATACATTTTAAATACTAGAGTTTTTTCTTCTAAATCAGTGAATTCCTCAAAACTAAGTGAAAATATAACATAATGCAACACTGTGTCAACTACACTTAATTTTTAAAAAATCTACATATGTATGCATATTAACCCAGACTGAAAAATCCAAAGCTCGCCATCATAATCTCCAAAAAGCTCATAATTAAATATCACTGTTTTTTCCACCAGCACTGTCCAAAAGAATTTTCTGTGATGATGGCAGTAGTCTGTATCCATGTTTTCCAGTTAGGTAAGTAGGCAGAAAAGATTTAAAATAGGAACCCTGAGACTGCTATCCTTAAAAAGACCTCCTTACAAGGTCCTTGGCTGATATGTGGGAACGTGGCTAGTAAACAGTTCTCTACAAGGGATAAAAAACTTGAACTGAGTAAGTGGCTCACTGTGCCTAAACTGCTTATACAAATATAGCTTATGCTGAACACCTGGTTTCCTTCTGAGAATCTGGAATTTTGGTACTTGCTAGGCTGAGTTCATGGGACCAGCCCCCAGTAAAAACCCCGGGCACGGAGTCTTTTTTATTGAGAGTCCTTGGTGGGTAACACTTCACTCACATTATCACAACTCACAGCTGGAGAAAATTACCACATCCACTGGTGTGTGACTCTACTAGCAGAGTCCTAGAAGTCTTGCCTGGTCTACCTGATCTCCTTTGGACTTTAACCCACACTCCATTCCTTTTGCTGATTTTGCTTCGTATCCTTTCTGCTATAAAGTATTTCAAATTTAACTAGCTATATGTGGCTGCTACGCTGGAGAGCACAGTTTCAGACCAGGGGTTGGGAAATGTTCTATAAAGACCCAGATGGTAAATATTACAGGTTTCACAGGCCACAGGTCTGTCTCATCTACTCAACTGCCAATTATAACCAAATGCATTGAGACAACAGTAAACAAATGAACATATGGATGCAAAAATATAAATTTAATGTGATTTTCACATTTAACAAGATATTGTAACTCTTTTGATTTTTGTCAACCATCTAAAAATAAAAATGTAGAAACTATTCTTACCTCATGGCCATACAATAACAGATTTGGCCCTTAGGCTATAGTTTACTCAACTTTGGTCTAGACTCCATGAGCATTCAAAAACTAAGGTAATTTAAGACATCTAAACTATAAGAGATCTCATAATTGAATCCATTAATTTTGGAATAAAGCATTAGCTTTGCCCAGACACAATCTGCAGAAACCCTAAGGTTTAAATCCTCGGTCTACTACTTACGAATGGATTTTACTTTTGCTAGAAAAATACATTCTTTAAGGTTGGTTGGTTAAAACACTTAATGAATTATCGTTTAATGGTTTTTTGAAGGACATGTCTCTTTCCATTACAGCACCAGTATAATCTGTTATCATTTTACCCCTTCAGCTTGACTCAAGGATGGCAACATGAAGCACTGAAGAATCACACAAGGATAAAACGTACTGAGTCAGCCCACCATCTCTATAATGGACGATGCCGTTCCCATTTCACTTTGTCTTTAGGCCAAGATGGCATAAGACAGAGAGCAATAGTTTGGTTAAAATTCTAGTACTAGTTTTGCCATTCACTACTATGTCTTTATATAAATTTCTTAACTTCTTTTCGTGCTATAATGGATAATGGATTAGAACTAACATCTGGTCTCATGTATTGTGTCACAGTAAAAGAGAATGGTAAAACCAAAACTGACTTCAGAGATTATCTAATCTTTATCTTAACCAGAGTAAACTGATAATTGGAAAAAATAAGTCATGTGCTCAAAAGCAACAAAGACAGGAGCACCTGGGTGGCTCCGCCAGCTAACTGACTGCCTTTGACTGCTTTGGCTCATGATCCCAGGGTGCTGGCATCGAATCCCATGTCAGGCTCCCTGCTCAGTGGGGAGTCTGCTTCTTCTTCTCCCTCTTCCCCCAACTTGTGCTCACTCTCTTTTGCTCTGCTCTCTCTCTCAAATAAATAAAATCTTAAAAAAAAGGAAAAAAGCCAACACAGGTGGATAGTTTACGGTACAGCTGGGTCTAAAACCCAGGTTTCCTGACCCCCAGGTCCACAGCCTTTTCCACTGCAGTATGACTCCTATCTCAAAGTCTGTTTTAAAATGTTTCTTTATGCAAACCATAATACTGCTGACCAGGAGCTTTTTTGCACTATGACCCCAGTCCTGACCATATCCAATATGAGGACCCTAAAATTCCTTAAACTCTTCTCCTCTTACAATAACAAAATGCTAATCTAAATTAGTAACTGTTCAACTGAAACATTTATTTTGTAAAATCACGGTAGCACAAATAGCCAAATACAGACAGTTAACACTTATAAAATAAATTGAGTCAATCCTCATAATAATCCTATGAAATCAGTTATTATCCCCATATAGATAAGGAAACTGAGGCATACAGGCATCAGGTGCTTGTCCAAAATATGAAAGCTAAATAATGGATGGAGCTGGGATCTGGATCCAGACAGGCACCAAAGTCTACACTCCTCAATCAGTATACTATCTCATTAGGAAACCGACAGTACAGTGGCACCTGGCTTTCTCAGTCAGTGGAGTGTGCAACTCCTGATCTTGAGGTTGTGGGATTGAGCCCCACACTGGGTGTAGAAATTACTTAAAAATAAAATTAAAAAAAAAAAAAAGAGAGAGAGAGAAGAAAAGAGAACCAATAGTACACATGTGTATTATCCACAAAATCTATAAATGATGCATAAAACCGGTATGAATACATATACTTTTTCACTAATTCCTGTACACATTAAACTACCCTTTATGTAATAGATTCCTTCATTACCTCTACGTATGGGCACAGATATAACCAGTTTGTGGTTAGTGCATAAGACGACAATTTTAAGGGCACTGGAAATAAAATCCCCTCATAGTTGTATTTTAAAATTGAGTAGATTAAAGTAGAAATAAACAAGTTACCATAAAGAGAATGAACCCTAGATCAAATTTTAAACTAATTTTAAACCAAGAGGAATATATTTAACAGATCTAAAAAAATGTGTAAAAATTACCCTAGGAAGTACCTTTCCTACTCATTCCTACTTCCACCACACCTTTTTTAAAAACCAATGGATAGGGGCGCCTGGGTGGCTCAGTGGGTTAAGCCACTGCCTTCGGCTCAGGTCATGATCTCAGGGTCCAGGGATCGAGCCCTGCATCGGGCTCTCTGCTCAGCGGGGAGCCTGCTTCCTCCTCTCTTTCTGCCTGCCTCTCTGCCTACTTCTGATCTCTCTCTGTGTCAAATAAATAAATAAAATCTTAAAAAAAAAAAAATCAATGGACATAAAATGATACTCTCCAAAGTAACATGGATTCCATAAATTCATTGATATAAAGTTAACATCACATATTGCATATTTAACATATATGCATATACATATATATACATCATATATGCATATACATATATATATCACATATATGCATATTTAACATATATGAACATGCATATCCTTATATGAAGACACAAATATTAATGTATAAAATTTCCTAATACATGACTAATAGTTCTGATAACCATATGTTGAACTGCCTATTGTCCATGGTTACAGCCAAGGTTCTGTGTTTTCCATGCTTGATGTTACTGCAACATGCAACACCTAGCCTATCTGCTTTCAAAAGTAATCATTACTTACTCATGTCCTAGTATAAGCTGTTCAGTAATTTCCCAATAATCGATATGGTATGTAACTAACAAGCTGAAATACAACTAACGAGGTATGCTTCCCAACTTGTGATTAATCTGATTTTTTAAAACATTTTATTTTTAAGTAATCTCTACACCCAACGTGAAGCTCGAACTCACAACCCCAAGATCAAGAGTCACATGCTCTACCGGATGAACCAGCCAGGCCCCCACGATTCATCTGTTTGATACACAGAATTACTGAGAACAGTATATACTGTTCATATACTTCACATCCTACTTTTAATAGGCATACACGAGACCTCTGCCTACTGATCGCTGCTCTTCCGCACTTCTAGCATAATGCTGTTACAGCTGTTTAGAATGTTAAACCTGTACAGCAAGTAGCTTAAATTTATCAGCCAGAAATCCGGACACCACAGTATCTATGTGGCCATGAGCCCAACATTACAATGATCCCAAATCCCTATCCACCAGACTTGTCTTAATTGTGTCAAAAGTAGACTTGAAAATAGACCATTGTATCTATTTACTCTAGGCAACCCACAAAGATAAAATATCTGTTGCCAGAGTACAACTGACTTCCCTGAGAAATTATTGCCTAATGGGCCATGAAAACGTTTTACAGGTCTCTGATCCACGACGATGCGGATCCAGAAAAATTGTTCTCACCCGCAGATGGGCATCATCATCTAATTCTTACTCGGGTTCTTTCTAGCTTGAAAGCTCTGTAAGTCTCTGAATATCTGAACTGAAGATAAAATGCACAAGCTTATATGAAACTCCTATTCTCTTTTCAGTCTCTGTTGATTCTTTTACCACCACCTGTTGCCTTACCCACGGGTGCCACCCAGACTTCTGCCTACCATTCCTACATATTAACCACATGACAGATATTATGCTTTTATTCCTACACTTAATTATTAATAAATACTTTATAATTTAATGATTACTCATTATGTATTAATTATTATTCTTACACTTAACTCCTTGAATTCACCAATACAACTATACCTCCAACCCTAATTTCTCACATACACCTTTGCTCTCTAGGTGCTTAATGTCATCATTAGTCTCCTAAGATGGGTATCTTGAAGTTAATATCGTTATAGTCAGTTTATTTTAAAATCCTGTTATCCATCCTTTAAAAAAAGATGCCATCCCATCTTCTGTAGTCCAAATGCACTACACTCAATGACTGCGTGCCTGAGGCACTGCCAAAAGCTCTAAGACTTCACAGTGCTACCTCTTATCCTTCTAAGCCATCCTGCACACTGCTACCTCATCTCCCTTTTAAAAATCTGCAAACCAATCCCTTGGCCACGAACCGAAAACATGTAGTGCATCAAATCTTTAACTTTTTGGTATTGTGTTCATTTTCCACCCCCAACGAAAGACCCCATTCCAATCAGTTCAGCCTCAAGGCTCCAGTTCAGATGAAGTTACCATAGACTCTGCCTTTGCTCACTTTTCCTTTATCTAAATGTTCTTCTAACCCCATTCTTCTTCATTTAATTCAAGTCCTATTAGTTGTTGAGTCTCATTTGTTTGATAAGGTCTTTTTTAGCTAAATCAACTCCAATTAATTTATCCCTTTTAAAAATGCCTACTGCCATTATGTATTTAATCTTTCTCCATGTGTTAGCTTTGTCTCAATTACAACAAAAAACTACTTTAGGACAAAGACTAGGTCTCATAAAACTTATCTACCAAGCACTGAAACTGTAAATGCCAGGCCAACTGATAAAAATGTAGATCATTCTTTAATTATTTAAAGTCGCCCCTTCCCTTTCTAAAATTCCACTGTTTTTGTTAGAATCACTTTATCTGAGGGGCACCTGGGTGGCTCAGCTGGTTAAGCATCTGCTTCAGCTCAGGTCATGATCCCAGAGTCCTGGGATCAAGCCCCATGACACCCCGCCTCGGGTTCCCTGCTCTGGAGGCAATCTGTTTCTCCCTTTCCCTCTCCCCCTGCTCATTCACACGTTCTCTCTCAATCTCCCTCAAAAATAAATAAAATCTTAAAAATATATATATAATAAGAAAGGACTGCAGTGATCAGATGGAGCAACTTCAGGACTCTGTTCAAAAATAAGATTCTATTTTATGCTGCTTTCAACATTGCCTGTATTTAAAAAATAAAATCTTCATGGATGAAGTCTCTAGTTGCAAATGAGGACCCAGGAGCATAACAATATTTCACAATATAAAGTGGACACTAACTAGGTTTTATAATAGTCAGAAATCTAAGAGTTAAAATCACACACTTCTGTCTCAGACAGACTTGGCTTCAAGTCCAGACATTATGACTCATAAGCTCATTTAACATCTCTAAACTTCAATTTCTTCATTTATAAGGTGAGAGTAGTAGTTATCAATCTAATTGGGTTGTTTTTATATAATCCACGTACACTCAGTAAATGCTAGCAGTTACTGTTACCAACAAAATTAACTCATGGTCTTGAATAAAGTTCTAGGAATTATTACTTTAAATATGTACAATTTGTTTCCCTTAATCAACCTTTTTTTAGCAGTAACCATACTACACCAAAAATGTGCCAATTTTTTCTATACGAAGTCACAATAATTTTGGGTACTAAAGGTAAAATTTTGTTGATTAGAAAACTTAACTTACATCTGAACCAGAAGCTTTCATCATTGCACTCTGCGAAGACTCTTCTTTCTTCCTCTGTTGGAATGTAATCAGCCCCTATGTCTTTTTACCAAGGAAAATTGGCAAACATTAAAATGCCCATGGAAAAGCTAAGCCTAAAAATTTAATTCAGTCTAAACATTAACAAAACACATCAAATTTTTTTAAATGAATGAAACAAATGCCTCATAAACTTTTTTTAAAATTTAAATTCAATTTATTTAGTTTCAGGGGTAGAATTTAGTGATTCATCAGCTGCATGTAACACCCAGTGCTCATTCCATTAAGTGCCCTCCTTAGTGTCCATCACCCACATACCCCATCTCTCCACCCACCTCCCCTCCAGCAACCCTCAGATTGTTCCCTACAGTTAAGTCCCTAAACGGGCTTATAAACTTGAAGCAAACTGACTTCAAAGAGAAGTCAGTGCTATTAGTCAGGACTGACTACATAATGTGCTGATCCAGTGCAAAACGAAATTTGGGACCATTTACTTAAATTATGAAGAATTTCAAGATGGGGGTGCCTGGGTGGCAAAGCCAATTAAGTGTCCTGACTCTTGGTTTTGGCTCAGGTCATGATGTCAGGATCCTGGGATCTAGCCCCATGTCAAGCTCCACACTCAGCAGGAAGTCGGCTTGGGCTTCTCACTCCCTTTTCCCCTCCCACCATGCACACCTGCATGCGTGCTCTCTCTCTCTAAAATAAATAAATAAATCTTAAAAAAAAAAAAAAAGGAACAAGATGGCAACAGATTATTAAACAGAGTGAATCCCTGTCTGACTGCACAGGTCACACACCCCTAAACCAGGCCAGTTGCTGCTACTCAAGGCAGTGAGTTTTCATACATAGAAAGTGCTTCTAATTATAAATATTTAATTGATAGTTACGGGGAATTGGTCTTGGAACTTCTGCATTCGGCTCTTGAAAATCAGCCCTCCCATTCATTTTTCCTGCATCAAAAACATTTCAGTATTAGAAATCATTCAACAGACCAAACTCAATTAAGATATAGCATAGTAAAATCACTAGTCTACAGGCCAAACAAGCAATACTTACTAGACACTACCAAATCTGAAGTACCTGACATAATAAAAAGTGACCTAAATAAAAATGTAACAAACCTATTAACTTATTTGGATCGGATTACCCATCTTAGGTCCCTTAACTGAAAAAGAATAGGTCCTTTATAATTATTTATCAACAGATTATGTCAAATTAAGATATAAAATGGTACCAAAGAAATACACGGATCTCTCCTCCTGAAGCTTGGTTATGTCACACTACCCTATGTTGTCCTTTCACAAATATATGCACAAAGATTACGATGATTTCCCAAATTAGAAGAAGAAACACCTCAAAATTCATTTCTGAATCTTCCATCTTTTTAAAAAAATGAAATAATCATCAGGAAACACACAACCTCTTCCACAAAGCACTACTCCACAAAAACTGAATAACAAAGACGTCATATCCTTCTCCCTGTGGTTAAAGCTAACAGCAAATTCTGCATCCTCCAAACTTTCCTCGCTCTCTAGAGACTCAGAATGTATGATTTCAAAATGCAAAATTTCAAGAACATACGTTATTTATTTTTTAACCCCATATCTCAGGACTTAAGAGACCAACAGATTGGATAACTGCGTATTTTACAGAACGTTCACACAGGACCATGATTATTCCCATCTTAAAAGCCATTTACATGAAAACGTGAAATGGCATACACGGCGAGAATAGCAACTGAGGCTATTTCACTCAATAAATTTCACTCAATAAACCATCACTGACAATCCCTTGCATAGGAAAAAGAAATAGAAAGGGTAAAATGAACTCATGGACGGATGGAGCTTGCTAAACAGACTACCTATGAAACGTTATTTTCCGCAACAGCATCCTACTTAGAAACCCTAGCGACAAGGCTGACAAGGCCCCTTCAACAACACAATTTTAACCTCTTAATGCTACAAAAAAAGGCTGAACCGAACCCTCGTCGGCCTATGGCCGAATCCCGCACTGCATAGTCACAATCCCCGCGTCTCCCACCTGCAACACCCCGGGACACACATTAGTCACCAAGAAATCACCCCCTCGCCTCCCTCAGGCTCCCGCACTCGGGAGCCCGACAGCCAGCGGGCGACCTGCCCACTCTCGCAGGCGGGAAAATGGCGGAAGGTGCAGGGTAGCGGCTGGCCGCTCGGAGGTGGTGAGTGGGCAGGTGGGGGGCGGAATGGAGGCTCTTTGCGTCACCTCACCCACCTCCGGACCACAGCGGCGATCGCGCGGCGAGCCGGGGCGATCGAGGGCAGAAGGCCTCGAGGGGACCCGAGAGGGCTCAAGGAGGAAGAAGAGCCCGCGGAAACCCTCAGGCGCGCGGCACCGCAGCAGAGTTGGGGGTGGGGAGCAGCCAGCCAGTCGGCCTCTAAGAAGTCACCCAAATACGGGCTCAAAATGACCGCGACCCGGAAGCAGTGGCGACCTACGGACGGAAATGACGTCAAGACCTCCCTGCGGAACCCAAAGGCTCTCAGCCTCCGACTGGAAGGCAGCAGGGACTGCGTCTGTCGGCCCCGCCCTCTTCTGCCCGCCCCTCCTCCCTTCTCCCCGGGCCGCGGCGCTCGCCAGCTGCACTGCGGCTGCGCGCGCCCCGCGGGTCGGGACCCCGCCCCCTCGTTGAGGGTCCAGGGGTGGCTTGATTTCAGGCGCTAGTGACGTGCCTTTGTGGCCTTCCAGTGACAGGCTGGCAGGAAAGTTCAAGAACCCCTTTTTAAACCCGTTATTAAGAGTAGCCGGTTTTCCTTGATTTCTTTGGTTTGGGGCTTTACACGATCTGTTTCATTCTTGGAGCCTCTAAGTTTAAGTAATGTTAAGTGATTATTAAGCCTGCGAACTTGGCTGTGTCATGGTGTCTTGAGTCCAGCTGCAGACTAGTTCTAGAATCTCAGGCATGGCACGTTCTCTCTCTGAGCCTCAGGTTTTTCTCGTCCGAAAAAATAGAAATTACACTTGCCTCATAGGGTTATTAGGATTAAAGCAACACGCTGAATAGAGACCAGCACTCAGTGGTTCTCTATTAATGGAAGTCTATTGGAATGCGGGCCTCGTGACTTGTGTTCATCAGACATCTGAGGCCACAGCCGGCCACCATTGATTCATTTATTCATTTTTTACAAGTATTTATTGAGTGCCTACTATGTGCCGGATACCAAAAGTAACTGGTGAGTCGACAGTGAACAATTTAGCTCTACTTGGTGGTTTTTGTTTCATCAACTCCTGAAAACCTCTTTGGTTTCTTCCTTTTTTTCTGAGCAGCTCTGCCACTGGCCTCATTTCACCTTTCTCACTGCCTGTAGAGCTGCCCTATATTTATTCTCCCACAGGCATATTTAAGAGAGACAGCCTACTGTGATCCATCGAAAACACAAATCCGGCCCTGTGGTTTCCTTTTGATAGCTCCCATCATGCACAGACTGTTAAGGCCCTGCATGGCTCAGCCTCTGTCCTCTTGAGCCTCACTTTCTTCTATTGCACGGTTCAATGAGAAACACAGCCTGCAGCCCTTTGCACTCACAGCCCCTGTATGCTCTTCCCCCAGCTTAACCCTCTTCCCTGCCTGGTTCACTCTGTTGGTATTTCAAAATCCTACTTTTACATTACTTTCTTTGTCAAGCCTTCATGGAAACCCAGCCCAGAGAATTTCACTCCTCCCTCTTAGCACATCTTTTCTTTGCGCATACTTCTGTCATTTCAGTGTAGTTCTGCATGATATTGTGATCTTTTTGCTTATGTCTCTCTGTTACAGAACTCTTTTAGGACAGAGAACTTGGCTGATAAATATTTATACTCCCAAAATAATAATACTCATTTTGTTTCTGGGACATGCTAAGCTGAGCCTGGAACCAGGGCCTTTGCACTTGATGTTCTCTCTGCTAGAACACTGTTCTTCGAGGTGTTCACATGCCTTCTTGTCTCAGGTTACAGCTGATGTCACCCCATCAAAGGTGCCTTCCTTGATATCCAATTAAAATTAGAACCTCAGTCACTCTCCATGTTACCATGTTTATTTTTTTTAAGATTTTATTAATTTATTTGACAAAGAGAGATCACAAGTAGGCAGAGCCAGGCTCCTGCTGAGCAGAGAGCCCAATGTGGGGCTCAATCCCAGGACCCTAAGATCATGACCTGAGCTGAAGGCAGAGGCTTAACCCACTGAGCCACCCAGGCGCCCCACCATGTTTAGTTTCATAGCACTTATGATCTAGAACAATTACTTGGTTTTTTTATTGCTTTTCTCTCTCCACTCACTAAAATAAAAGATCTGTAAGAGTAGAAGTCTATCTGGCGTCAAAATGATTGGCACATAGTATGAAATCAATACATATTCTTAAATGAATTCATCGAGTACATCGAGTATTTTTATGAGAAAAGAAACATAATTAAAAGACATACTGTGTGAGCTTTATGGTAGAGCGAAATCTGATCTTTGCTTTCTAATTAGATAGTAAGATTCTGGAATCCAGTTCTGTCGTATTCTTTACTGAACCAGGCCTAACGCATGGCACGTGGTATTTTGATGAGTATATTTTCTGTTGCCCATGTATTTCTCAGCAATCAAGTCAATAAGTTGGATTTCTATCGGCGAAAGGATGTGGTGCTCTTTCTGTGGGAACAAATAAGATTCTAAACACTCAATCGTGGGCAAGGAGCTCTTTGAGCTGCCAGAGATAATTTATGTTCTCAACACCCAGAGAGCATGGCAGGCATCCTAAGGTGCAGCTAGCAGGGTGGAGACCCAAGGAGACAGGACAGGGGGTTCTGGTGTGTGTAGTTTCAGAGAGTAACCCCAGATGGCAGCCCCAAATCTCAGTCTTCAAATTAATTCAACATATCTGGCCTTTTGTTGTTGATGCATCCTTTTTGTGATGTCCAGGTCAGTTGCAGGTGGACTGCTTAAACAATGCAAATTAGAGCTCATCATTATTTGTGTATACTTAAAATCTAAAAGCTCATTTGGATTCAAAATGCACTGGAATCATTGCAAGACATTTCTGTGTCACATTTGTTAGTGAAAGATAAGAAAATTTAAGAGTCTTTAAATAAAATTTAAGTTGTAAATGTTGAAAGGTTATTACATTCAAAATTTCTCATTGATAAGAACTATTAAGAATTCATTAGTTAAAAATAAATAAGTAAATAGAGGCATCTGGGTGGCTCAGTCAGTTAAGCATCTGCCTTCAGCTCAGGTCATTATCTCTCAGGGTCCTGGGATCCAGCCCTGCATCGGGCCCCCTGCTCAGTGGGGAGTCTGCTTCTGCCACTGCCCCTTCCCTCCTTGGGCTCACTTGCTTGCTCTCTCTCTCTCTCTCAAGTAAATAAATAAATAATCTTAAAAATTAAATAAGTAAGTAAATAAGATTTAAGGTGCGGGGGGGGGCACCTGGCTGGCTCGGTGGGAAGAGCATGCGACTCTTGATCTCAGGGTCGTAAGTTTGAGCCCCATGGTGGTGTAGATGCTACTTAAAAATAAGTACATAAATTAAAAAAAAAAAAAAGAATTTGAAGAGCTAATCATTAAGAAGAAAATTTGTGTGGCCATTTCAAATTTAAACCTACAATTAAAAGTTACATTTAGAGAAGCAAGTTCAAATTTATAAAATATATTTGGGGGTTTTATACAATTGAATATTTATTCAAATAGAGACAGTGTTTTGTTTTATACTCTTCCCTTGTGTTTTGTATTTTATTTTTATCACAATTATGCCATAAATAAACATGTGCCTAAACATATAAATAGATGTGTGTGTGTGTGTGTGTGTATGTGTGTGTGTATTCTATACATATAGAATCCCAGTATAGATGGCTCAATCCCCTACAGTTTATTTTAGTGACTAGCACAAATACTGTCATTTTTCTGTGTTTGCCATGATGTAAGAAAAAGTTGGGACATGTATAGAACTTCTGAGAAAAGAGAGAGAGGACAGTGAATCAAGATCCATCTTGATCTATACTGGAATTCTCTACAATCCCAGAGGAGTATAGAGGAGTAAGCATATAGGTGATGTAGCCTAGACTATGAATTGCTGGTTAACAACCTCAAATACTTTGTCCAGCCTTCTAATTAAAATTTAAAACAAACATTTTATTATCTAGGGAAACATAGGGCTTCCAATGATGAAATATTTCAGTTCTAATCTATGCTGTTTGAGGGCTAATAAATCCCAATGATATTATTTCTTTGTTCTTTCATTAATCTCAGCTCTATCTTCAGTATCCTGAGTTTTGCACTCAAACATACATTTGTCCACTTTGTTATAACAATAGAGAGTCAACTCTTTGTCAAAAGTTAGAGAAGGAGAATTTTTTCCACATCTAAGTGACTCTCTTTTGCTGAGAATCTTTTCACTACAATGCATATTTGAAGAGAAAGGCTTTCTTACTTATATCCCCTGCTTCTCTTTCTTGTATGAAAGTTTCATTTGTAGGCAGAAGCAGGAAGAGGGAGGGGGAAATCCTTCACAGGAGATGACCCTTGCTGGCAGTGCCCCTCATGCTGTCAATCAACCAGAGAACCATCTGTCCCACTTTAGATTTCAGGAGCCATCTTGCACATCTGCTGTGCCTTTTCTAATGTCACTTATAGAACCCACTAAAAGCTGTTAGATGAATTAGGGGAACCAGAATGCAGCTGCACATAGCTGATTTTGAATTTTTGCAGCTGGGTCCTACATGGTACTCTTAGTTTTGAAGTCGTTTTTTTATGAGATTGGAAAAACAAATTCATTTTATAATAATAACTCCTAGGGTCTTAAAATTTTGTTCTCTGGAAGTTTAACATATATTTTTAAAACTCCCACCAAATGTTTAAAATTTAAGCCAACTGTAAATATTTAAGTAATTATTCAAGAGTTCCTCTTCAGAAAAAGTACCACATGGGGAAAAAATATTTTTAAAACTGATTCAAGAGTTTCTGCACTCACGCTTGGGCAGTAGGAGCAGGTGTACTCTGGACATACAGAACAATTCCAGTGAGTTGGTAGACCTGTATATGCTGCCAAGATGCTCCCTCGGCAAGGGCATTAGCTGCACCAAAGACCACGTGTCCATCTGGATGAACATGGCCAAGGTCGACAAGGTGACATGCAGGTTCAACAGTCAATTTAAAACCTATGCTATCTGTGGGGCCATTCGCAGGATGATGAGTCAAATGACTCCAAGGCCAACAGCATCGTTTCAAAGAATTTCTGACTGGAGAGGATAATGGAGGTGGAATATTTTCTTTAAAAGAAAAAAAAAAAAAAGCAAATACCCAAAGAAAGAGAGAGAAAGATTGATTCAAGAGCCAAGTACTTTCTGAGATGGAAGCAGTTTGGTATCTAGATGCCAGAAGTTTGCATGACTTGAAAGTCATCTCTCCAGTTTATTAAGCTAAAGTATTTGGAGGCATCCATGATTCTTCTAGAAATCTAAAGTATTT